CATGAAGCGGTGATAAACAGGAGGAACAAAGGTTTCCCAGTCACACCACCTTTAGAAAAAACTGTCATCGATAAATCGAAAGACCGCCCATTTCCATCGAAGGATGTTCGGACTGAACGATAAACGACAGTGCTGTGACGAAAAAATGAAAGCATATTCGAACTTAAGTCGAGCATCCTGGTGGTCCAGTTAGACTTCCGAAGGTACAACACACCATACTATCATGACCTAGACGGCACACAACAATGTGTCGCTTTGGCTCACTCGCTCACATTGGTAATGTATCTAGGGACATGCAACGTGTCTAACCTGGCAACAATGGAGTTTAGTGCTTTGTGCGGTCTTATAACCATGACTAACTCAACATCAGATGTAAAGGCCAAGAACATAAGCAATGTTAAGCAGAACAACAGTTGTGACTGTGGTGCATTTGTTAGCCATGCTCACATAATGTAGAGACACGACACAGGGACCCGGTACCATCGACGTTTCATGCGATTCCAGTTGTGTAGCTGTCTAGAACGGAAATGTTCAGTTTCCAGACATAGATTTAATTGTTAGTTTGTTTTCTAATTTATCGGCCCATAGACAACTATACGATCATTTCAGGCGACAACTAGCGAACAACGGCAAACATTTGTTGATTCGGAACAAATGCCCAATATCTTTGGACCATATATGCTGTCATAAATTACTTATTAAATTACTGACAAGCAGAAAGACAGTAGCGACGGACCAAATTAACCGTTCACCAACTGATTTATAGAGAGCAATGTCGGCTAGTTGGTTCACTGCTCTTTCAGTCAAAGAAGGCTTATTATTCGGAAAAAATCGAAGAATGTGGCAAGGATAAAAGACAACTTTTTAGACTCACCAAAAACCTAATGGGACAGAAAGGTGAAATTATCCTACCAAGTTGTAATTCTGAAAAAGACTTAGCAAGTAAGTTCAGTGATTACTTTCTGAATAAAATCAGCTCAATCAGGAAAAATATTACCGAAGTGAACACCTTTGCTGACATTGACATCTCTGTCATGACTGCTGACATTGCATTTGATGGGGAACCATTGACAAAGCTCTCACCAACAACCCAGGACGAGTTGCGCAACATTATCATGACCTCGCAATCGAAGTCCTGTGAGCTTGATCCACTGCCTACAGACCTATTAAAGCAATGTCTTGAAGCACTGCTTCCTTTGATTACCGCAATCATGAATAAATCATTGGTTGAGTCAAAGGTTCCATTATGTTTCAAGAAGGCACATGTCAGACCATTGTTAAAAAAGCCTGGAATGGACAAGGAGGAGTTGAAAAACTACCGCCCAGTTTCAAATCTGCCTTTTCTGTCTAAGATCTTGGAGAAGGTTGTGTCCCGGCGTTTAGAGGTTCATCTCCATGCAAACAGTCTCCATGACAACATGCAATCGGCCTACCGCATGGGACACTCTACTGAGACGGCCCTCCTACGTGTACATAGTGATATAGCTTCTGCATTGGATAACAAGTGCAGAGCGGTGCTTGTCATGCTGGACTTGTCAGCTGCATTTGACGTCATCGACCATGGCATACTTTATAAACGTCTGGAACACTCTTATGGAGTGACTGATACCGCACTATGCTGGATACAGTCATACCTGAGTGAACGACGACAGTGTCTTGCCATCGGATCTGCCACCTCACTTGACAAAGTACTAGATTTCGGGGTTCTTCAAGGTTCGGTGTTAGGACTACGATAATATTGTATGTACTCAAAACCGATTGGAGAGATTTGTCGTCGCCATAGCCTTCGCTATCATTTTTGCTATACTGATGACACACAAATTTACATGGTCATAAAACCACAGGACAGTTGGAATACAGTCTCAGAAAGTCTGAAAGCTTGTCAGACAGATATCAGTATCTGTATGAACGCCAACATGCTAAAACTTAATCAGGAAAAGACGGAACTAATCGTCTTTTCCCCAAAGTGTCAGCAAACAATGGCTCTCCAGCTCAAGGTTGGTGCCAGAACTATTGAGACTGTTCCACCGGTAAAAAAACCTAGGGGTATACTTTGACAGTTCTCTGAACATGGAGAAACATGTGAACGCTATTGCCAAATCCTGTTACTACCAGATCAGGAACATCGGCTGTATTCGGCAATTTCTAACTGCAGATGCATGCAAGATTTTGGTCCATTCACTTGTTACCTGCCGGTTGGATTATGGTAACGCCCTGCTCTGTGGTATATCTGACAAACTAACTAGTCGTCTACAGAGGGTCCAGAACACTGCAGCACGGCTAGTTACTCGTACTCGAAAGAGAGAGCACATCACACCTGCGCTTTATTCGTTGCACTGGTTACCTGTACGATACAGGTCGCAGTACAAAATTCTGGTATACACATACAAGGCACTGAATGGAACAGCTTCTCAGTACCTACAGGAACTTGTTATCCTGTATCAGCCGTCAAGATCCTTGCGGTCGGAGTCAGAATCTTTGTTGCGTGTCCCAAAATCTCGTACTGTGACCTACGGAAACAGATGCTTTGGGAGGGTTTCGGCTACGTTGTGGAATAGCTTACCATCTGCTATTAGGAAGTCAAATACCCTGGCCAAGTTCAAGAGGGACATAAAAACTCACCTCTTCACGTCTGCATTTTAGAATCTTTGCAAAGACGTCATGTAAATACCACCCTTTTATTTGTTCAATTATGTGCACATTGCTTGTTAAATGTATGAAAGTGTTTGCAAGCCGTTGTTGTTTGTTTTCACAATTATAACCATAACTATTATCCATATGTTGTAAAGCGCCTTAGAGTAATTTTAGAAATTATATAGGGCGCTATACAAATGCTGTATATTATTATTATTATTATTATTATGAGAAGTGTATTAATATACATGTATTTTAAATATCTCAATTCTGCCGATCATATGGAGTTGTAACTATAGTTAAAAGTATTCTTGCCGCTGTGATAAAATCACCAAGATATATTAATAAACTTGTAATATAGTGATATTTATAGATTGTATAAGTCAGATGTTGTTCATAGCTCTCTCGATACCATTGTGGAATTCCCACGAAATAGAATTTACATCATTATCACACCACAATCAGTCTATCTGATAACCCGACTACTTGCATGCCGATACTCGGTACTGTTGATTACGGGACCATGTCAACTTGTTTTTAAACATGATGTTTGGATGAATTATTGAGTTTTATACCAAGCTGCTGATATTTTATGACAAGGAATATGTCTTTCGGCATTTTAAAAATCGACAACTGTAGTGCACCGATGTAAATACTCTCATAGGTCATTTTCCATGCGAAGTATCACGAACTGTCAAGCTAACAAGGTGAAACTATTAGACCACCCTCACTTTCCACAATCTCTCAGTATTATCGCCATCCTGTTATTCAGCAACACGACAGCATCACATACATTACCGGAATGTAAATTTATAATTATAGACTGGTTCTGATTGGCTTGGCTTTAATTCATGATGACGTCATGAATGAAACATCTTCGTTACATAATGATATTTTGTGAAACTAGATGGGTATATTTTTTCTACTTTTATGGGACCCATGTAATGTTGTTTTAATCTGCAATACCTCAGATGTATGGCTAAGAAAAAATATAAATGTAATAACCGCTATGCTATTGCTTAAATAAATGAAAATGAAATGAATTGCCATTTGTTATGTTCTTGAAAAAGACTGTCAGTATGTGTACATTGTACGGCCACTAGTAAACCTGATTAATGGCCAGTTGTTCAACCGGTAGTAAATGGCATTTTTATGAGCATTTTGACAATAATGATCTGTCAAGTTTTAGCTCACCTGGCCCGAAGGGCAAAGTGAGAGTTTATGCTAAGGCGCAGCGTCTGTCGTCCGTCAACTTTTCCCTTTAAAACGCTACTAGTCCTTAACAGCTTAGTGGGTTATTGGCCAAAGGGTTCATAATTTGTATAAACGGAGGGTATGGCCCCCAGGGCGACAGAGGGGCGTGTCAAATAGGGGGGAAGGTAAATCTTCAAAAAATAGAGGAATTTTGGGGGGGCTGAGGGTTGGGGCCAAATAGGGGAAATAGAGGTAAATCTTTTAAAAGCTTTCTCCTTCTGTGTGAATAGAGAGATTATTTATCACCAAAGTTACAGATCTTCTGTGGACAAAGGGGACTAGATTTTGTATAAATGGAGGGTGTGGCCCCTTTGCATTGGGGCAGATGGCGGGACCCAATATTGTTAATTAAGGAAACTATTTTAAAAATCTTTCTCCTCCAATAAATATTGAGCGATTTTAACCAATGTTAGTCACGAGAATCTGCAGGCAAAGACGACTAAATTTTGTATAAATGGATAGTGTGCCCCCAATAGTGTAGATAGAGAATTTTTAAAATCCTTCTCCTTCAAAAGAACAGGCGGGAATTACTAACTAAATATTCAATTGCTAGGCATGATGGGAAGAAAACTTTCATGCTACCAGGATTGGCCCTGAGGTCCAGACCAACTCCTAGAGACTACCTCCTTGGGTAATTACATGTAAACAGTTGAGATCCCCATGCCATAACCATTTACAAAATTGCTGGGCATGAAGAATATCTTCTTGGTATCTTACCAACCCAAACAGGTGTACATGAAGTTCTTCTTGCAAATTAAATTAATTGTACTTCTTTGATAACTGGTATGGTATATACACAGCAGGTTTTAAATTGAAAATCAAATACCAGGTGAGCTATTAATTAGGCCCCTAGGTCTATTGTTAAAATATGTTGTCTTTAGATTTCGTTACAAGCAAACTAACTTACGTTTTATTTATAAGCCTCCATTTCAACCCCAACCACCTACAACCCCACAACACTTCTTTCTGGCATTTAAGAAACTATAGTATTCATTAGAATTTGTTTATTATGAACCCTGGTGAAATTGGTGCAATGAATGTTGAAATAGGTCAAATTTGTTTTGAAATCTGATATTGATAATATACATTGAACAACTCCTTTCAAGCAGGGCATAAATTAACTTTAATAACTTTATTAAATGCAAAACTTCACCACACCATGAATATTTATTATAAACTTGTTTTAATGTACAATACATCATTTATATATATATATATATGATACCACTTTCTTATTCTTGCGTCCACAATGAGGGGTCACACATTGTTTCTGTGTATGGCACACAATTAAACAATTTACATCCAGAACATTCTTCAAAAGTTTGTACCTTATAAAAAACATAAAGCAAGACAAAATACACCAGAAATATTAAGGGTCCACCAACACACAGAAGGACAATGCGACAGTGCTTCTGCTGCTGCCTGAAGGACAAGAAAGGCAGGAACAAGACGGAGCATATGACACCCAAGAGGAATCCAGACACAATGCTATAATTGTCAATATAAGGAAGGGTACCAAGCATCAAGAAGACCACTAAAAGTCCGCAAATCTTTGTCAGCTCCACAGCAGGTTTTTTGACAATGTGCCAGTAGTGTATCAGTTCTACTGTGATTAAACCAGCCATCCCAAACACTGTGGCTGTGCCACCTACATGTGGCACATAGGGATTAAAGACAGCAGCAGTCTGAAATACCAACACAAAATTGACTCCGTCAACATATAAATATTTCACAAGTTCAAGGTTTTAAAATGAGAAAAAATGGCCTGGACATCATGTTTCCGGTCCTCAAATATAACTCATGGCACAACTCCTAGTTATCATTCATATACAGTAATATATTTGCTGTTTCATCAAAATAGATCTTTATTTTCACTGACATGTCAGACAAAGATGAATATTTCCCTTCAAGATAAGTGTTTAAAACAATTTTCAAAACTCCAGACATTAATGTAATTGTGAAATGAATCACAAAAAATTAAAAAATAAATTACGGAAAATTGCCAGAATATCAAACAACAATTTAGACAAGGCTGAAATCACATCTTAACTTACTATGACACACATGTTAAGCCAAGTACATTTTGTAGTACCCTTAATAAGGATGCTTGCAACTAGATTGATAGCTAGGAAAGAGCTTTTGAACAACTTTTCCCAACTTTTCTCCAAGTGTCACCATAAAACAATAACTACCAGACTTACCAGCAGGCCCCCTAATCCTGTCATAAGATAGACAATGGTGAGTCGAAGCCAACCAAGGGTCCTCTCAATCTTCCTGAACAGTAGCACCTGGGCAAGGCTCACGAGGACAGCATGAATCACTCCATGGTGATAGACTAGGGACAGGGGTAGTCTCCACCATTGGATAGGGTCCCTAGGGAGCCATGGTTGTATAGGGTCTGCCTCTAACCCTCCCATCCCACACACTGAACTCAGACAATTTACCTTCAACACACACACAAATATCTAAGTGATACAGCACATTGGGTTCAATTATCTCTGACTTCTACAACTTGAAAACGTTACAAGAACAATTTTTGGTAATGTTTTCAGTCAGAAAAAATCATCTGAAGATTAAGACATATGAGGCAACTCAGAAAGTATCGTGTAGACATGACATAAAAACTTCAATCATCCTGGTATATCTGATTAAGTTTTCTTTATTTTAATTTTATATCTGACTTTCCCCGATTTGAATGGTAACAAATTCCACAGAAAACAGAATCAAAATGGTGAGCATGACAGCCGACCTTAAATGATATTTCTGGTGCAACATCCCTATAAGAACCTATGTATCCAAGGTCTGAAAACTATGGTCTCGAATGAATTCAGTTCCACTATCATGTATCCAGTGATCAATTTGCAATAAGTCTGCATGGGTCTTTTCCAATGTATGGTTAAAATATATGGATCCCACCATGTTAAATTTCAGTATTTTCAGAAATGTAATGGGTCAAATCAAAACCTCTATGGGAACACGACCCAGGACTCGCATGTAGATTTATCACTGTGTATCCATTTAGTTTTGAACCAATGACTCCACTCATGATATACCTTTGCTGATATGTAATGTATTCATTGGGATGGGATATTTTTATACCTGGCTACAGTGCTCTGGTCCATTGACATGAAAGCTGCCCTCCAGAAACTGGCAGTGTTCATGTGACAACAGCTGACACTGTCCTCGGAGTCCTGTACAACAAGGCTTCAACACATGGCCCACAGAGTTCTGTCCTGATGGTCGCTCGCTACATAAAACACCTTCTCTCCATACTCCAATGCCTGGAACAAAAATTGTTCTAAAGTATAACAAAGCCATACAATGTACCTGTCCTACTGAGACACTGGTCACTGCATAATCATAATTCACACCTACAAAGTCTTGTTAAATATTAAATAATGTTCAGCACTTCATATGCAGAATATCTCAAGGTCCAAAGCTCCAGTTCTCCACCATAAAATTTTGAATATTCAAAAAACAAGACATACATATCGGGGTCAGGGAGTTAGAAACTTGAAGCACACTTTTTGTGTCATTCACAACCCACAAGATATTTTTTTCTAGGTGACCACTATATAAACTAGAACACTGACAGGTCAGTAAGGGCCCCGTCTTGTGGCAATATATCCCCCATAATCATCAAAAAGCAATCTGCCCATAAAGCTGAGCTTGACGTTTGACATTTGGACTTCAAAAAAAATCGCAAGGAAGCAAAATATACATTTTACATGTACTATGATGTGAGTCTTGTTTCCTTCCACCTCCATATTTGCTGGGCTAACAGAAATGTAAATACCTGTGCAATCCTCATTTGTTAGCTTTGATTTGTTTTATTTCACCTTATATACCTCCTCCATCAAGAGCCAGAATCAAAGTCAGAGATCCACTTTGTCTTTGACCTTTGGACCCAAATGACCTTGGCCATTAACCCAATGACCCTGATCTTTGGTCAGTTGACTTATTCTTTAATTCCGACTAACTTAGCTTCATAATATCATAACAAAATGTTCATCAGTGAAAAATATAAAACTTCACCTTGACCATTTGGACCCCGTAACCTGGACCTAAGGTCAGTTGACTCTGTGTTAAGTTCTGAACAAGTTTGCTACACCATAACATAAAAAAAAGTTCATTAGTAAAAAGATACAATAATTGACCTTGACATTGACCACATGACCTTGACCTTACGTCAGTTGACTCCTTTTTAAATTCGGACCAACTTTGCTTCATAATTTCATAACAAAATGTTCATCAGTGAAAAGATACAAAATTTGTCCTTGACCTTTGACCCAGTGACCTTGCCCTTTGGTCAAATGACTCCTTGTTTAATTCCCACAATCTCTGCTTGACCTTTACCTTTGACCCAGTGACCTTGACCTTTGGTCAATTGACTCCTTGTTTAATTCTGAGCAACATTACTTCAAAGTGTCATACCAAAATATTCACCAGTGAAAAGATACAAAATGTAACCTTAACATTTGGTCAGGTTGACTCCTTGTTTAATTCTGATCAACTTTGCTTCATCATGTCATAACAAAATGTTCATCAGTGAAAATATGCAAAATTTGACCTTGACCTTTGAATCTAATGACCTTAACCTTTGACCTCAACTTTTTACCTCAGTGTGTCCCTTTGTTTAATTCCGAACAACTTTTCTTCATAATGTCATAAAATGCTCATTAATGAAAAGCTACAAAATTTGCCTTGACCCCTAACCCGATGACCTTGACCTTTGGTCAGTTGACTCTTTGTTGAATTCTGAGCAACATTGCTTCAAAGTGTCATACCAAAATGTTCACCAGTGAAAAGATACAAAATTCAACCTTGACCTTTGACCCAATGACCTTGACATTTGGCCAGGTTGACTCCTTGTTTAATTCTGATCATCTTTGCTCCATCATGTCATAACAAAATGTTCATCAGTGAAAAGATGCAAAATTTGACCTTGACCTTTGAACTTAATGACCTTGACCTTTGACCTTGACTTTTTACTTCAATGTGTATTTTTGTGAACTGAACATCTTGACCTGGTTTCATGTTCATCGGTCAATAAATACCAAAGTTATCAGCCAGAAACAAAATATGTGGACGGACAGACAGACAGAGACAGACAGACAGAGTGATTACTATGGGGCACCCGTATCTCCGATACGGGGCCCTAATAAAAAAATGTTGACATTCATTATAAACCACATCAACCAAGCATCAATAATTAATCTAAGTGCCACTATGCCCTTCCTAAACCAACACCATCACCAATAAATATATTCATATCTTGAATTGGCAAAACTTTTATTCCTTCAAGATGGTTCCCTCGGATACAAAAATGTAGCCGATACATTTGCTGTATGCCTTGCTTATTAAAAAGATTTATTCTTTACAATTGTTGATACCTTTGACTTTGAAAATAGTTCAAATTCAAATATTTGAACAGTGAATAACACTCAATAACAACCTGCTACAGGCCAAATATATTAATCCTAAGAACTCTTGGTTATTCAGCGGATTTTTTTTTAAATGTTTAAAACATTTGACACATTTAGCCAATGCAACTTATTTGAACAATCTTGATTGCCCTTCACCCAATCATGCTTCAGACCAAATTGTAAAATACGATGTATAATATGTAATTAGAATTATTTACCATTAGTGCTATTAACACACTCTGCTAGAGTTGTGGTTCCCGCTACATTTCTGCCTGCCACCTCACAACAGCCAAGTGTACTGGTTTTACTGTATCCCTCTTTACTATAGTCTATCTGGATTCCAAAGTCTTCTCTCATGCATGGGGCATACAGAGCTCCAATACCTATTTACATAATTCATAAGCCTACCTGCATTTATTTCTAAAAATTTAAACAATATTTACCCTTTATGAAATGGTGTCAGTCTTTCAATGATTGCTGATCAGAAAATAATTCACCCATAACTTCAAAACAGAATCTAGTAGTATGTTGAAAATACAATTTTTTCACATTAAACATATTAAATTTCACATAATTCTGTACAATAGTGTATTTCTCTTTATATCCAAATCACTGCATAACCAACCTTTAATTTATCTAAATTTAACCTAAAATTCCTCTCCCATTAATTCATAATTTTTTATTAAGACATATGGAACTCTACCATGAATTGGGCAAAATCTGCCACCTTATAAACAGGCATTTACAACAACAAAAAACAACACAAAAGTAAAATGAACAAGTGGCAAACATTGGAGAAAATGTATATGGCCATCTTTTAAATTGAAAAGTTTGACCAGAGATTTAATAATACAGGGGATAAAGGGCATCAAAGTATTATTTTGAGACTTTTCCAAAACTGTTCAATTCATTCAGACTAGTGTAGTTTCTTACTGATTAGGTATCGTTCTGAAGGTCCTATCCACACATTCGGAGGGATCCATTTATGGACCATCTCTGTGCCAATAAAGGTCTTCATTCCTGCCATTAGCTCTAACTTAGGCTCCAGCCCTATAAAGGTCAGCTTCCCGAGTATGCATGTCACAACCACCGACACCAGCTGCATCTGTGCATGTCAAAAGAAAACCAAAGTCAGAGATAATTCCTTGTTCCATACTCAATTAAATATCTAAATGGCTCATCAACAGAAAGAGGTTGTATATACTATGCTAAACAATAGAAATATGTAAATTGGCAATGTAGCAAAACAATAGAAATATGTAAACTGGCAATGTAGCAAAACAATAGAAATACGTAAATTGGCAATGTAGCAAGAGAGACATATTGGCTGTTCATAGTCTGTAAACCATTATAAATATCCTAATTACTGTTATGTATGATAATATAAACAGATCAATGTTGGGTCAATCTAACAGAACAGGCAATTGTATTCCCTCAAACTTTTAAGGGAATTCATTGTGGTATCATTATATATATATCACATTGTTCTCTGGCAAATGCTACGAATGATATTAAGAAGAATTTATTGTACATGTTAAGGTGAGCTCCAGGTTCTTATCCTAATCTGATCTAGCCTGATTGTGTTGACTTCCTACATGTACATTTTATGTAAGCTGTGATTAAGAATAAATTACTGACTACAATGAGGATGTATGTGAAAATCGTCCTATGCTCATGCAGAGAGGCCAGATGAAACTTGATGTCTGTATTACTCTTGACTGCACTTCTCTTGTCCACAGAAACAGTTTTCTTCAGCTCATGCCACTCGGTCACTGCCTTGCTGTTCTTTGGGTTCTTGTAGTAGGCTAAAATTCACAATAATTAATTCAAGGGTTTTTTAGATGCATTTTTACTACAACACCTCAAAGCAATATTTCACTACATCTTAGTCCAACAATTTTTGCTGATCTATTTTATAAAAATCTAAATAGCCTGTATTTATATAATACCTGGAAGTGTAATGTTTGAGGTGCTTTCATACCGACAGAAAAAGTGTTGGGCCCCACAACTCTCAGCACCCAGAGGGGCCTCATCCTTTGTTTATACAAAATTTAATCCCCTTTGCCTAAGGATGTTCCAGACCAAATTGGGATAAAATCCCTCAATTCCTATGGTAGAAGGAGGATTTCAAAGGTTTTTACCTTAATTTCCCCTATTTGCCCCCAGGGGATCCAACCAAACGTTTATACAAAATTCAGTCCCCTTTGCCCAAAGATACTCAAGACAAAATTGGGATGAAATCCCTTAATCCCTATGGTAAAAGAAGGATTTTAAAGGTTTACCTCTATTTCCCCTATTTGGCCCCACCCCCTCTGCCCCCAATGGGTCCACATCCACTGTTTATACAAAATTAAGTCCCCTTGGCCCAAGGATTCTACAGACCAAATTTGGATAAAATCACTTAATCCCAACAGTAGAAGGAGGATTTCAAAGGTTTTTATCTCTACAGAGACCAAATTAGAATAAAATCCCTACATCCCTACGGTAGAAGAAGGATTTTAAAGGTTTACCTCAATTTCCTCTATTGGGCCCCGCCCCTCTGCCCCCAATGGGTCCAAATCCACTGTTTATACAAAATTGAGGCCTCTTGGCCTAAGGATGCCCCAGACCAAATTTAGTAGAAATCTACTGGTCTGTTCAGGTCATCGGACAACGGACACTGCATGCCCCATGGCCTGAAGGGCAAGTGAGCTAAAAATCACATCTGAGACTTACAAAGCTGGTCAAGGTCAAATTTATTTAAATAAACTTGATAACTATATTATATAACTCTACCAAATAAGGTGAAGGGAAATTCCTATAGAGAAGCTAGAATGTAAACTTGGTCATGTTATTTTCAATTAAAACTTGCCATACAATTATTATGACACATATTTTCAAACTTGTAGGCTTAATTCCATCACTTAATTAGAAGTTCACTGGTACATATGTAGTATATTTCTAAAACTTTGTAAGAATAGATATAGTTCAGGGAGTTTTCTTATTCAAGAAAGGTTACTATTTGATTGTTCTAAAACTCATGGTTGATACACCAGGATGTACTTGTATAATTTAGTGAAACTACAGTTAAGAAGATATATAAGTGTAACATGATATATATAATTACATGTATGTATACATACTTGCTTGAGTGTAATAGTCATTTGAGGCTGTAGAGGGATAGAGGTCAACAATATATCATTATGAATTGGGAATTTCAATAGGAAATGCAGAATGCTGGTCAAATTATGTCTTATTACTGCCTCCACTACGGGTAGAACATTTGTTTAAGGAATTATTGTCCAGATACACTCATCAGATTATATTATTAAGTGTAATATACTGGTGACAAAATTTACAAATGAATGATTAATTAAAGTTAATATCATTGATAAGCTATTTGAATCATGTATAAAACTGAAAAATTAAGTGTTATCATCCTTGAAAATGAGACCAAAAAAGGGCACTTTAGTTGTTTATTTATTAAAACTCTTCTGCACAAGTTATTTTTAAAAATATTTTTTTTCTAACCTGTAATATTTACACATCAATAATGAAATAATTTTATGCCAAACTAAACTAATGAGTATTATGTAAATTACTTTCAAACTATAATTTCCTGAAAAACCGCAATAAGTAATTACTAAAAAAAAACATAAAAACAAAAAAAACATGTCCTCCATATTTCAAAAAGTTTTTATGAAATATGGCCATTATTTGAAAATAAAAACAACAAAAATGGCAAATTAGTGCACATTGGTGTATACGTATCAAAACAATTTTAATATTACCTAAGTGATATCAGAAGCTCACCATGTTAATTACTAGACCAAGGATCCTGCTTAATTACAAGACATATGGAAAAGAAATGTAGTCAACCTTTCTGCCATACCTTAGAGTTTCTCACAAAAAAAAATATGTATCTGTACTCTGTTCGAGGTCAAGAAGATGTCTATTTGTGTCAGAGACTGGATATATATATATCATATATTTATTTTGCCTTAAATTGATATTGTTTCACCTTTTGCCACATCAATTATTTCATCAATTTGTCGAATCCTCCAGTCGTAGTTCATCTTTAATGCTTCCTTGGCCTCAACTAGTTCGTCAACCCGAATATTCTTATCTATCTAGGAGAAAGATAAACATGTGATACAGTGAATTCATCAGTTCCAAACAGGTGATACTATTTTCATTTTTTATTCTTAAAGATAAGTTTTTATCTGAATGTTTTATAAAATCCAGTTTTGAAGGAAATAGTTGATCCAATCAATGATATGGCCCAAGAAAGAAAATTACAATTCACAAATACAAAAACAAACTCCCCATGGGCCTCATGCAGAAAGAAAAATGAAGCCAGGTTTGAGACAAAACAAACATTTAGTTAAAGCCATATATGTCATAAAAATCATATCACCTTTGCATACAATTTAAAATGTTTGTATCCCTCATTTCCAAAGGCCAAGTCTTTCAGAGACAGCTTTTCCACAGACTCCTGAAAAATATAATTAAGTCATATTTGCTAATGTAAACAGTATTGAACCAAAGAATTTTCTCAATTTTGTAATTTGAAGAATTGATAAATGGCTGCAGATTGAATGAAAAACAATGCAGATATTTATTTTTAATTACACAAGTAACCATCTTGCTTTTCATAATTATGTGAGAATTATATTGCTGTCTGCAGATTTCTCTTATTTTTATTTCAAACATAATTATCTGAATTCCACTGTATATATTATATAAACTTGCAGGAATGGAATACTTCTCATCCACAACCTCATCACAAAGGGATGTAATGACTTGATGGTTCAAAAATCGGCAACATAAAAACTACAAGATTTTAAAGGATAACTTTCATGCCATTCATCGATATGTTACCTCACTTGTAGAATCTTCGGCAAAATGAATGCTATCATTTGCTCCAGGCATGTCAGGTGAATCCTTGTTGTCCTTTAGTACTGTCTGTCTCTCTCTACCATTCTTTACAGAATGTTCACTTTCTGTGTTTAGATCTAAATCATGTTTATGTTTTCTTTCCTCCTGTGGATTTCCAATCTCTTGATCATTTTCTTCAAATTTGTGTTCCTTTCTTTTGGGATCTTCAATTAAAATGACATTTTCAACTTCATCCATATCTTTTCCCTCATCTTTCCTGGGATTGCCAGAATCTCCTGTAGTTTGATAACAGCTTTCTCCTTCATTCTGTGACGGGTCCTTTTCTTTTGTATTCAACTTCTCTCCAACATTTTCTCCTGGTGTATTGTGTTGGTCAGTAACATCTCGATCCTTCCTAGTACCTTGTTCTTTAGTGATAATTGGTTTGGGATTCGCTGCAGTATCATCGTCATTACCTGGTGGGTCAGAGTCATTGACTCCAGCAGCTTCCATTTTGCCATTATTGGTCTTTTTTTCCTCCTCTTGTTTAGAAGCGCTATCTTGTCCATTGGCAGAATAATTGGTATTGGCAGAATAATTTATATTCTTTCCAATGATACCCAATTCAGTGTCCCTAACATCACTAGATGACTTGAACCTTACCCCTGTTTGACTAACTGATTTTGTTATTCTGTAATGTTCAGATGTTTGGTCCAAGTCTTCACTGTTGGAATCATTATGTGTTTTCTTTATGATAAGATTCTCAGACTTCTCAGAATTCTCAGAAACAACTCTCAGGTGATAAGGTAGATCCGAAGTTGTAGTTTTGTCAGTACATGTACCACTTTCAGAATCCTGAAAAACATTTCTACTTGCAGAATTGTTTACAGAAAGTATAAAATCTGACACAGTTGGAATACTTTCTTCTTGTTGAAAATTATTCTCTTCACCTATTTCAATGTTGACATGTACTTCTTGGGGACATTTCCTTATACTGTTGCTATCTGTCAGGATTTCATCTACAGTTTCATCAAGTGAAGGACCAAAATCACTTCCATATGGTTCTAAGCTCTTCAAATCAACAACTTCACTTCTGTCCTTTTCTAGAGTCTTTTTAGCAATTGTATATTCTTCTGATTCTTGTGATATAATGTCTTGCAATGCGTCCTGTAAACAGTCAATTAGTCCTTCTTCAGATGCCTGTTCACTGCTTTGGAATATGCTTGTGATCATGCCCCCAAATTCATATTGCTACAAAAATAATGAGCAAAGAAAGGTGAAGGATAAAAATCTGGAAAAATGCTGTTAGATAATTCAAATATAATGGTTTGGTAAACACATGTATTGTATTAAAAGTTGTATGGACAATACCAGTCTTTGGAGTGCTTATTGATGTTTATACAAGAATAAAGTTCAAATTTACATATACAATACTATAGGTTAACATACACATTTCTTTTATTTTCTTGCTTCTTAGGTTCAATCCATTTAATAAATGTATAATGGTCATCATAGTGGTAAAATAAAACTGAATTTATCAGATACTGAAAAATTAGGACTTTTAACATAATTCTTACTTTGTAGCATTGATCTTTGAAGGGGTCAAAGGGGTCATATATATCAAGGAAAATAAATGTAGAAATAAAATGATCATCATTCATTTCCTAGTTCAGGGGTTGATGACCTTAATCTTTTATACATCATCTCATGTAAATTTATTATCTTAATTATCTAACAGATCACTTAAAAATTGCCTCACCCACCCCTACTTCAAAAATCAAAAGAAACAAATTCTGATATCTAATCTATAATCACTCAGTTAAGACCAAATCAGCTAGTAGTGAAATATACCTGATCTAATACATTGGTTTCCTGATGCTGAACAAGATCTGCCATCTTACACAAATGTAGTTACATGTAACAGTCTGTGCCGAGTCATGATCAGTACCTGGAATACATACATGTACAAAATGTAAATAAAAACCTAGAAAATTAAGGTATTTCATACAGGCTCATGTCAGTGTATATAGTATGAGACTGGCTCATAAATTTTCCTCAAAATTATGAAAATGTGGAAGTTGGTTGGTATACCCATGTCAGGAAAAATGTCAATAATGACCTAATTGCAGAAATTATTTATTGAAAATATTGTTGACTTTGTCTGAAAAGTAACATATGAATGCAGAATTCTCGTGGCGCAAAATTGCAATGAATAATGGAATTAATGAAAAAAAACTTACCTGAACATGCATTCCTGAAGTATCCATTTATTGACTATTATCGAGAAAAATCAAAAACTGAGCATAAAGCCAACGTTAGGCTGCCTGAAGTTGGGAAAAAGCATGCAAAGCAAGTGCGATTTTACCTGTACACCATTCAAAACACCTTCAGGTTCTCACTCAGGTAATCTGTCTTGACTTGTATCAATAGCCTTGTTAGCTTCATGAATTATTGTAAAATATCCAATGAAAATTCATGGCATCTGATTCTTGAGATTTGAAGTTTAATTTTCTTACATTTTTCTCGATAATAGTCAATACACGGCTGTCTTCAGAAATATTCAATGCAATATTGCGCCAATAAAATTCTGCATTCAAGTGTTACTTTTCAGACAAAGTCAACAATATTTTTAACAAATAATTTCTGCAAACGTTATTATTGACATTTTTCCTGACATGGGTATACCAACCAACTTCCATATCTTTATCATACACCGACATGAGACTGTATGAAATACCTTAAACAGTTTTAGTTTTCAGGAGTGTTCATTTAAGACATTATAAATTTAAGAACTCAAAGATAATGTTGACCTTCAAGCACAAATCAGAAATCTTGTTTTTGAATTTTCAATGTTTTTAATGTGATCTTGACCTTTAAACTTTGATTTCCAAGAAATATCTTGCAGATGCACCGTGTCGAAAAGGAGCCTGAAATTCTGTCAAAAATAATAATAACAGTACCTTCAACGGTAAGAACATACCTATTAAATGATTAAAATCAGATTAAGCTGATAGGTATTGTTTTGCTTTTAAGCATTATAGTTTTTTTTGTAGAATGCCTGGGCTCCTCAGGGTAAAGGAGTAGGAACTAGGATGCAGACGATTTCCACACTTTTATTTTCAGATAGATGCGATGCATTATTGGTCGTATTGAACTTCAATCTAGTGTTTAGATAATCAGTTTATGTAAATTTAACGTCTTGAACATATATTATATTTTGGTTGGGATGCATTCTACCTCATATGAACAACGTCAAACCAAGCAGACGATTTCTTCTGATCGCACAATAAGAACAAAGTAGTCGATAAAAAAATAGAATCGTGTCTATTTTTCATTTCTTATTTAATTTCTTCAAATAGTAAAAGCTATTATTGTGTGAAGCTTATCAATTAATAAGATACAACATTTTCTGTGCTCTAATATGCAATTTACTTTTCATATGGTATTTGAAATTATCGCTTAGTTTAGAAGAACTCTTCACAATTGGAGACATATTAGTGACAGGCGGAAGTGGGTTGGTTTGGAAAGAAAACAGAAAATAAGCCGAAGAAGATTATTGTTACAAAATGGCTTCAGACGGAGGGGAGGTTTATCCTTCCCCTTCATCTAAAGGAAGAGAAACGGTATGCTCAAATTGCTATCGGTTCATATTGATAGATGCATCGGGGATGGCACCCCGATCTAAGGGGAAAGAGGGGTGGCGTTGCGATGATCATCTAACTGATATAACCCCTCTTCTATTTTTTTTGGGATGAAGTGCAGCCCATCGAAAAAATGAAATAGAAGATATGAGAGATAGTCACTAGTTAAGGACTATCTCACCAACAAATATATATTTCTAAACATCCTTAAGAAAACCAGTTCACTGGCTGACCTTTGAAGTCTGACTTTTTATCAATATAACTATAACACTCTGTATTAGTGTATATAAAAAATACCCCTTATACTATAAAAAATAGTAGAAGGGGTATTTGGTATCTACAAAAAATAGTTTTACAGGTATTTTTGTATACAGATTATTATAGTGAACGCTCTTGCGTGAGCTTCATAGGTAATATGTACGTAAAAGAAACCCTTCTTCCTATACAAGGATCAGACTCAAAGGTTTGAGTGCACTTGATCCTGGGAGGTGGCATTAAAAATGTGAAAAACAATTATTTTTGTTAATTTGTACTATAAGATAAAAACAGAAAAAACTATATGTAAGGTTTAAACTAGCCAGGGCAGACCTGAAAGAGTTCAGATTTGGCTCCTGTCAAGTCATAGTCTACCATGAAATCCCATAGCCCTAACAAGTCAATCACTTGCATAATTTGGGAAATCGTGTGTGCACAAATTCCTGTTATGTAAGCCACCATTTTGGATCTTACCGTTGTAGAAAATTTTCCAATAAATTTATCTATTTCAATACAGAAACAAACGGTCTCGGATAACAATTTAACTTTTTCAATTTTAACAATTTCTATGACATAACGCCCATTTCTAGCCCATTTCTAACTATCGAGACCAAACCCAGCCTACATAGATAAAACCTGCATACAACATCATCAGTCATTATGACGTCATAATCAATATTTCCTACATATATATTTTATACTGATGATAAACGGTGTGGTTTAGTAAGACAGTACGTATACATATTATAAAGAATATATGTCAGGCATCTTTGTTTTGATATTCTGCTGTAGGCTACACAATGCGTATATAGTTACATATGAAATACATTTAGTTTATTTTACACAGTCAAATAGGAAAATTCATTGAGTTTTTAATCGAATTCAGTGTGAGCCAATCAGGTTGTAAAAATAACAACACATAGAAAAGTATCATATTGTTTGTGTGTAAGAAATCCGGTCTTGAGTCCATGTAAAAGAACAACATTACGCAAGCCAAATTGACCTATATCGTGTATATATATATACTGTACTAAACAAGTACATCGCAGAATATCTGACAACTTTGTAAAAAAAAAATCCATTTACCAAATACAATATTCGCATGCATGCATATCCTTTTCCTGGCGAAGAGGGAAATAACAAAATGTCATCTCAACAATTGACTCAAATAATGGAAATTGCTCATTGCAATGCTCATATGGTGATGATGACATTTGTATTTACTTGATCATCAATGTCCTTTACGTCAGTGAAAGTTTTGGCTAAAACAGGGACCCATTGTTTTTTTCTGAAAGTAGCATAGTAAAGGAGGCCTACATTTTACATTAAATTTTGCTGAATGTAAATATCCAATTTCTGCATTTTCGTTTCTCATTTTTGATTTTGCAACTTTGCTTTATTACGTTGTCATTTGATAAGAATAAAAATGAATAAGCTCCACGTGGCAAGAGATGGTAACAGTATAAATTGGTGTAGCGGAACTGGACTGGTTCGATTGTCAGCGACCAGATGGCTCAATTGGTAGAGAGTCCTTCGGAAAGTCCCTGGGTTCGAACCCCGGTATGGCCCGTGCATTTTTCCTCACCTGTTACACTGGTACCTGTGACCAATCCTTGTTTCAATCGTTTGGAGTATGCTTAACAAGTGGATACCCAAACCTAGATTGTAAATAGTTGTGTCTTTGGGGGCGAAGACTTAAATAAAGGAGGGAGAAATGTAGAGGAACTGGACTGGATCAATCGTCAGCGACCAGATAGCTCAATACAAAATTGAACCTCGGTGTACGATTCAATATTGTCTAAAATATTAGTGCTTACTCTAAAAATATTATCAGGTGGTTACCCTATTTTATTCAATGAATTAAAATGTATACAGTATAATTTTATTAAGCGTTCGCCTCTAGGTAGCGCCTATTTCATATTAGTTAAATTGATAAACATCATACTCGTGTGGTTACATCAAGTATCTGTCAAAATGGTGTCGGGCCAGAGGAAACTCGGGCTATGTTTGCAATAAACCACAGTTACTGAAACACCAGCAGACCTGGCTATATAGAAAATCGACTGGGTAATGTTTATTGTCAGCAACCAGGTAGCTGGTTCGAACCCTGGTCTGGCCATGCATTTCTCTTTCTCCTGTTACATGTATATATAAATGTAGGAGGAATGTTAACACATAAATAAGCTTTTACTTGTCATATTTATTTCATACACGTTGTTAAATTGTGGACCAAACAGGTAAGTTGGTGAAATTAAAGATTATTGTTAACATACTTGCCAACTGTTTGAAATTCCATGAGGGGAATTCTGCATGCTCAAAATCAAAACATCACGAGGAAATTCAAACACAATTGACTCTATCTGACTACATATGTCTATTCATATTTGAAAATAAATGTCAAATCTGCTTAAATAGACAGATTTGTCAGTGCTCCAGTTATCCTGATGAAAAGATTTTTTTCAACTCATAAGCAGCTCAGCCAATGGAGCTATATTGTATTTTGAGCTATTGTTATTTTTTTTTTATTTTTTTTTTTAAACAATGCAGAGTCACAGTTAAAAGATTTTCTGACTATTTTGAATTTTCAAATAATGTTGATGCAAAAAGATATTTGGAAGTTTTACGTTTATAAAAATAAAAATATACCTCCTTTGATTTAAATCGATTAAAACTGAAATCTTAGAAAACACAACACAATATACAGCAATAACAATAGGTGAATATAGCTTTTAGTTTATAGGTCTGTACAACTATATATATATATTGATTGGCAGAGTTTACTTGACCTGCACGCCTATTTCATATTGTTCATGCAGTCTGGTATTTGTTGTGTCACATTGTAATCACAGTAAATTGTACTGGTAGTACTGAATGGTCACTATCATGTCTGATAGAATAATAAAAGTATAGCCCTATAAAGCCATGACAGAGACAGGCTAGACTGACATTGTGAAGTATATTGCTTTTAAAATACACTAATAGATATAGTTATACCAAAGGTTTAGTAGGTCATGCTCTAGTTCTTATGACATGAATGTTGTACATGTCTATACTTTTGTATTCATACATTATTGATAAAATGTTATATCTATTACCCTGTACTTCTATTTCAGTCTGATTTTCTGATGATGATAGTTCGTACTCTTTCAACCAGTGCTGACTTTGAGCAGAGGGAAAAGGAAAAAGCAAGAATTGAGAAATCTTTCAGACAAAGTGACAAGTTACTTGGGGAACTTGTGACAGGTAAAAATCTAATCTAACCATAATAGCTCCTGCTAGATATATATTTAGAATCTATGAATGTGACTGTTTGTAGTAAAGCAAGTTGTTTTTTTCGTAATCATTATCGTAATGCAATTAAGAATTGACTGTAATTTGTTTTTCTCATTCTTAAAAACAAGAGTAACTATAGTGATGTATGACAAAAAAAACTGGTTGTAAAAAGTTCCCCTCTAAACTAGTACTTTAAACCATTATAAACTGTTAGTCCTTGTAATTTTCAAACTTGCATATATATCATACAGTTGTGGGACCGCACAACGCATCAAAAATGGCGTGCGCACACCGTGCATACATCGTTCACACACCGTCCGCACATCGTCCACACATAGTGCGCACAACTGTGCGATTTGGTATCGTTTGTAGATCAAAATTACGGAATGACAAAAATACGGAAGGCTTGTATACGATAATGTTCACTGTGTATATATCTGTAATTTCTCATCCCAATATTCAAGATTATACAATTTCACAATGCGTATTACACAGTATTACAGTGACCGTTAGGCTGTCAAGAATGGGTTTGGCTCCAAGGTAACAGAACAGGTAAATAACAATTTTATGAGTGTCCGGAGTTTTACCTGACCAGTGCCTGACACACAGAGCTGATATGCGATACCGTTTGACCGTAATAAAAAGTATTTGTTATTTGCATTCGTTTACCTATATATAGCTCCCCTTCACCTGGATGTTCACACCGCCGGCCTTACCCGACGAGTTACGTAAATGCCCCAGGCGGGGAGAAAACTACGGTCCAGGTACATGTACACAATGGTTATGTTTACCTGTATACGGGGTTGGGTTGTAACTTTACATGTGTCGATTAAGTTTGTTTAAAAACACAGAAACACAATTCCTAAATATAAGAAATTATAGACAGAAAGATAAGTTTATAGATGTTGCTAGAATAGAGAAACATACGTAAACATCAAGTTTATATGTTTAACAAGAAACCGTATAAATTGTTAATGCATTCCTCAATTTAAACCAACCACGATTGTTGTCGCACAACATCCGTCCATCGTGTGCACATATGTGCGAAAGCAATGATCGTTCAGCTTTTTATCTTTCGCCCATCGTGCACACACCGTTCACACACCGTGCACCCATCGTGCGCACACCGCACATCGTGTAATGTTGTGCGATCCCACAACTGTACTTGACAATACAAGAAAGATTATGTTTTAGTAAAGAAAAAGTTTTTTTTCTAAATTGTTATAATGGCACAAGAGATACAGAAAAAATCTAGTTCCAGAATGGCAAGGTTGAATAGTCAGTATTATATATAATTAGTTAATGTTTATATTAGGTGAACAGTGCCTCTAAACATTGTAGGTACTGTGTTAATACATTGGATAGGTTGTTGTTACAACATACAGGTTTAATGACACTAACATATATGTATAAATATTATTCCTGTATTAATGGCATCAAAATATTTATTGCTTTTTTGGTTCCTCAATAGTATACACTTCATAAACCATCAATATTTCTGATCAGTCAACTTCACTGTTGCAATTTTCTTTTTTTTTGAACAGGTTCTTTCGAAAGAGTTTGGAGTAGGATATGGGGAATTACATATAAGAAATTGAATTGTATTTGAATTGTTTGTAGTTATTTTTGCCTTGAATTAATATGTAATAATCATCAAATATATTAAAACAATATCACATAGCATGGACTCACCTGAGCAAAAAGAACACACAAGTTTTCTGATTGAACAGTACTATTATTAAGAAATGTATTTAGATTTGCATGTGGCCATGGTATCACAAAATATTTTTCAGACTGAAACTCAGATTTTGTTCTGAAGTTCAAATTCTAGTTCTGTACAGAACTACATATACAAATTCAAATGACCTTTTCTAGACTTACTAGCATTGTGCAAATGATCAAAATGTCAATAATTACCAGTTTCCATGGTTTACTGTTAAATACTTCTGTTTCATTTTTCAGACAATTATGAAGATCTAACGAGAGTTACACAAGCCTTCAGTACCATAAGCAAGAAAATATATGGTAAGACATTTTACATATTAAGCACTATCATAATGTACCTAGATTGCTATCAGCTGTGACAGGTCAGAGGTTTGGTTTTGATCGTGATATCACGTTAATTAACTTGATAGTTAATTCTTTTAACGGAAGCATGTGTGACATGGCACTGTAGTGCTGGTTTTAGGCACCAGTCTCATTGAGTCGTGGGTTCGTATTGGGGCTAGAAGGGGTGGTTAAGTTTCTTATTGGAGTGGTGTGCATGGCATTCTTAATACATTGATATATCACAATATTTCATAGAATTTTGATTCTTTGCAAAATATATAGCAGTGATCAATCTGCAATTTATTTTCATAGGTCCTTTTCAACTGTACTGCTAAAAACAATGGGTCCAATAATTTTAGATTTTAAGTATTTCCAGGAATTCTATGAGTCCCATTTAAATTCTATGAGTATATATATATAGGATTAAGACTTGTATGTAGATTGTATCACTGATATATAGTATTGGCCTATTAGGTCTGCAGTGTTTTAATGGTTTGATATGATATTGATCTGGGAGTAAGCCTTGTACCCGTAAATTTAGATTCAGTTACGCCTTTCCTCACAAGTCTTGTGTATCTTTACAGAGTCCCGAGACAAGATCAAGAAGATTAAAGATGATCTTAGCAGCTGTAAGACACTACTCCACTGTAAACGTGATGAACTTCGACGACTTTGGATTGAAGGAGTGGAGCACAAAACCATGGTCTCACTCCTCGATCAAATGTAAGTACAGGGTAGGGCACATGTACAACCGAACCGTGTTTTAGTTTGGACACCATAGTCTTTGTACACATGAAATCTTTTTATATTCTACACTTTTGAATCTTTGTGTATATGAAGTTTGTTAAAGTTTGAACACTTTGAAGTATTTGTACATCAGATCGTTGTTTTAGTTTAGAAGGTGATTACCGGTATATAACTCCATGGACATCCTTGTTTGTTCTCCAATGTTTGTGATCAGTTTGCCTTCAAAATGTCCCAGACTATTGTCAAGTTTTCAATGATCCTATCTTTCAATCTATGATGTCATATATATTTATTGTCCTAATCATGATGTCATAACTGAACCATCTGTGAAGACATTTTACTTTTACAATATGAGCAAATTTTTTTGGTTTTGTGGTAAAAAAAGTATTAAGAATTTTCTTTTCATATGAAATTCATAAAATAGGGTTTGTACAGGAATTGAAGACTTTTAGGGATGTAAAAATTTAAGCACATATTTAATTTGAAGTACTTTTACTTGATGCTGGGTTAGAAATTTAAAAAAAAAATCAAAGAAATCAGGACCAGTCATCAAAATTCAGGCATTTGTTCACTTTATGGACAAAATATATTTTCTAAAACTTTTAAAAGAATTGACTTTCTGATTTGATACATGTAATACAATTAGTGCTGTATTAAATCTGTCAATACAAAATAAGTTCATACAATAATCTATATGTATTTACTTTATTTCAGAGAACAAATCAAGGAGGTTCCTACCAAACTGGACAATTTCCTGCTGACAAAACACTATCTCCACGCCACTGATTTGGTGGTCCAGGCAGGTAGGTCAAAAGCTCAGATGGTTTTGTTTAGGATGTGGTTCTTGCTCTTTTCAGCAGTTTTTCTGTTCAGGTAAGTGTGTGAATTTAATGTTATTTCCAGTTTGAAACTTAATTTGTTATTGTCATGTATCAAATTTCTATTGTAACCAAGGCTGAATTATAAAGATTCACCCTATGTGATACTACATACTTGGGTCATTGTTAATTTTCCATAAGATTTGAATTGTATAAATAATTACCAATCTACACCAAAAAAGTCATACACGGCAGAGCAGTAGAAAATGTCTAAATGGTTGATAACACTTGTGCCATCAACAAGTGTTCAGACAGCACATATCACAAGGTATTTCCCTACCAAGTACTAACACATTTTTAATCCTTCATAAACAATATATTGCGTTATAAATTAATACCAAACTTTTGAAATTCACATGCTAGTATTAGAACTGGTCAAAGGGAGACAATGTTGAGTAAAAGACAAAATAGATAGGATTTTATAAAGGATAGCAAAAAAGTGATGACTGATTTTGATATCCATTAGAAGAAGTTTATTGTGAAGTATAGTTTAAAAGCTTCAATAGAGATTACATACATGTGAGAACAAACTCACAAGATTGGCTGTAAGTTGGATATCTAGTTTATCTTAGAGCACATACAAATGTATAAACATGTATATATAAAGTATATTTTACTATACCAAACGCATATCAGAGTTGACTTAGCCAGTCATGATAAAAGTTTACCAGATATATACATTATGTGTATTACATGATATTGTTTTGCAAGTTATGAAAGAAATAACCTGCGAGATGAAAAAGGTTAGTGATGAATACAAATGTATGACATGCAATGGCGTATAATACACCTGTTCTGTTTAAACCTTCAAGATGAAAAATATTTCTTAGATTTTTAAAATTTTAAAAAAATCAATTAATATATATAATATTTTGAAAAATTCAATGAATGGGAGCGTAGCCTTTGTTTCCCCGAAATACCCAGTGATATCCCTGGATCAAACGAACACAACTGAACCTAACAGTGCAAGGTTTGAAACATATACATGAGTCATGTACCTACCAGTACAGCAGGGTGGAATATTGAAAATGTCAACAAAATCCATTTAGATGTTATGGCTGACCATGCAGTTGTTCATTATATGTTTGAACAGTTGCCAAGTTGGAGGGCCCATTGTCCGGAGTTATGGCCCTTAGAGATCTGAAGTCTGAGCTGACAACACGAAAGGAGGTATATATAAATCTAACAACTTTTCTTATTCCTAGGATTTTGCGTGAATTACTGAGTACTATAGGTGAAGTAATAAAAAAAAGTATCAACATTTAAGTTTATGAAAGAAATACTGACTACAAGTATTAAACTTCAGCCTGAAATATAGCTTTTATATTATGCAGCTTTATCAAAAGTAAATCTGAGGATATAAAGAATTCAATTTGGTGAGCGTGTCTGGTTAAAGATTATACTGAATTTATGAAGGTATTCAAAAAATTAAAACAAAGGAAAACATTCATTATCTTAAAGAGTAGCTATTTATGTTGATATTGAACATAAATTGTAGCAATTACACGAGGTTCTGATCGGTGGCCTCAACAAACAGATCTATGTAACAGTCCCTGCCAACCAGAAACCCAGCTATCGACGCACCGACTCTCTCACACGACAGGGAGACTACCCTTCTCTGGAGCGAAAGAAAAGTAAGACAGTGTCCTAAATCAGGTTGTAATGAACTTTGTCGGCTTAATGACACAAACTATCTTTTGAGATCAGTTGAAAATAGAATGGAGTTGACTGATATTATCTTCCATACAGTGGTCATTTTGAACCCTAGAATGTTTATACCTGTACAATATTAGTGGAGGGGTGTTCCATTGGCCATTCGTCCATACATCTTTGTTTGGCTTGGCATTCAGCTACATTTCTCTAGCACTATGAGTCTTACAGTTATGAAACTTTCTATGCGGATATATTTTGAGGTCTTCACCAATATATCAAGTATATATAATAATACATTGTATAGGTCTTATGCAGGATTGACTCTGTTTTGACTCTGATTTTTTCTAGACTTTTGCATTCAGTTCCATTTCAATTAAAGAAGGAACAGGGACAAATTTTAATTTTCGACGTTTACTGGTTTGATCTTTATTTTGAAAAGTATGAAAATATTTGTGATTAAACAAGACTTATAAAAGACTTACATGTGAACTTATTGCAATTGTGACCTGCATCTCCTTTTCAAATGAGTTCCTCACTAAAAGCAAAAGAGTTCTCCTTCTTTTTTTGGGGGGGGAGGGGGGGAATTTATTATGAAGCTAATTAAGTAGACATTTTGTATTTAAGTAGAACTTTTACAACAAGCAGTATATGTACTGCTAAAATGAACACTTTTAATAAAATTGCTGATAAAGGAACATAATTTCCGTCTCTTACTATTCTTCTGTCAGATTTTGACTAGGTCAATTGTAATGAGATTGTACAATCAGTTTCAGTTTAAACTGTTTTGAAAGCTATTAATTTATCCTATTGTAAAATGTTTTATTGTGCCTAGGATCTGGCCAGGATATGTTTCCTACTGTGGAGCCGTTTACACATGAAGAGATAAAAGAGGATTTGAACTCGAACCCAGAAGAAAACCCCTCCCACTTCATTGCTCTCCTAGTTGAATCTCTCTTTGTCCTGAAAAAAGTTCCAGATGGAGCTGAGGTAAAATTATCAGTAATTTTTTTTCAGGACTTTAACTAATCACTATTCTTTTGATATGTAGCTTTTAGTTTTACTAATTAATAACTTGCATTTTGTATTTTGAGTGCATGTTAATATAAAGGAAGTTTTTTCACATGTACCAGCCCAAATATGCTGGCAGTCCTGGGTTCCCAGGCATCAGAGAAAACCTGTGTAAGACCTCTTAAAAGTGTCTTACTATATATGATTGTTTTGGTATTGTTTATTACCAGAAAACCCTTGGTAAAAGTATCCCTTGTAGGCATCTTAATTTGTGTTATATGTTCGTATGTGTAATAAAACAAAAGTGAAAAAGAATGGGAAAGATAATATTAAGCTTCTGTTAAGAAATCATATTTGATAACTGCAAAATAAAGGGACTTAATTTATGTAATCCACTATTCAAAATCATTCAACGCTATTAATATATCTATTGATGTTTCAGGGACTGAAGATCAGGATACAACCAGAATTATCTGCCATTGTAGCCAGGGCCTCTCAACAGGTGGTCGAAAAGTAAGTTCCGAAAGTGGTTTCTTTAATGTTATCAAGCTTTTCTCTCAAGAGATTTAAGTATTTTAAGTATCTATCTGATATTTTCCTCAATTCATAACATATTGGGTGGCATAATAGCACTTGCCTTTCACAAAGATGTCTCCGATTGAACTTGAAAGGTATGAGGTCCCCTGCCCATCTACATGGGCTTTCTCTTGGTCCTCAGGCACCCCCAGCACACTACCATCTATGCCAATGACATGTAAAGTGATTGATATAAGTTGATCAATTTTGTTTCATATATTGTGGATAAAACATAGAAAAAGTTCCATTTAATTATCTAGCAATCTGTAATATGCTAATTTCATAAACATTATTCCACAGACTACATCAATTTATCATCATGCTACATACATTTCAAAGGAGAAAAAATACATTATCAACTTTACTACTGTAGCCAGTTTGTTGTTTGTGTGAACTCATTTTATATACAATGTGTTCGTCAGACCATTGTCCTGTTAGCTGTTCTTATGTATTGAATACATCAGGCAACTTCATTCTTCACTTTAAACTAAGGATCAGTCAATATACATTTAGAGTGCAGTATTAGAAGAAAAATTCTACTGGTTGTGAAACAATTTTCACATTTCTTACTGATAAGTGATTATTTGAAATCACAATATTTTCAATATGAGTATTGTTAGGAAAACTGGAGTAATTCGTTTCCCCTGTCATTTTTCCGTCATTCTGAGCCTCTCTAGAGCAAGAGACACTTCACCTGAATTCTGAGCGACTGCGGCAGACAATCTTTACTTTTGTGTTATTGTTCTATTTCGTCAAAATATAATATTTATTGCATTTGCATTATAAGGAAGCGCAAGTCTTAGTTTAGGCGAGATTAATCATGTCTCACTCAGACTTCATCCTCAAATTTTGTTAACACCTTTACTCAAAAATTATCATATCTTGTTTTCAGTTCTTGCCAACAGGGGGAGCTGTTAGCTAATAATAACCAGCCAAGGTTTCTGTTGGAGTTACTTATGATGGTGTTTCAGCAGTTCCGCTTGGTCGCACACATGCACAAGATGGTGTTAAGAAACCTTAACAGAGTCATTGTGAGTATCGCCTCATAATTCCAGTTTGGTTTTTACCTTTTTTTCTCAGAAATTCAAAAGATTCTTTTCTTTTTTTCATTCTGTGCAAATTCAAGTATTAACATTGAATTCACAACTGTAGTGATACTAAATACTTACAGGTGCATAGCTTTATAAAATATTTTTTTATCACAAGGTTTACATTTTATCTTCACATTCAGCCTAAAATTATGTTGAAATCAAGCTGAAAATTTCTGTGGAATGTTAACACTTTGAATGTGACTTGATAATCAAATTTCTATAATTTTCAATTTCTTTAAAGCTTTTTTAGTTTGATCATGTCTTTTCTTTTGTATACATGCTTCTATTTAATATTGTACCTTACTATTGAATGCAGATAAAAATTTTGATGCTTATATTATTAACTGGTATATACCCTGTTACCTTTCCATATCTATGAACTCTCTTGTCCTGTCCATGATTACTTAATATATGGTTAGCAGGGTAAGATAACTCAGAAATAGTACTTAACATTATTCAGTTAAGATTGCCTACCTTTACATGGTTGATACTGATAGATTTGAACCGTTCAAAAATAGATCACCAAATAAAGGAAGGGCTTATCATCAAAGACTGTCGGGTTTTGTTTGCCTTTTTCTTCATTACTAACCATTGTAAATATTTATGACATAAAAACTTTAGTCTAGATGAGCAGAGCATGAAATAGTTTCATTAGTTTAAAGAAATCAAAGTACATTGTTGACGTTTATTTTTTACTTTGGATGAACTTTACAATGAAATCACACATGCATATATCTTTAAAAAGATATGTGATAATTTTGAAATCTAACTAAATGCAAGATAGCTACATGTATATGGTGGCAGCATTAGAAATGATAGAAGGGCTTCTTTGATCTGTTTGAGCAAAAATGATTACATTGGAAAGAAAATAGAAAAACTTCAGTGTATATGTATTTCATAGATTATAACAAGTTTTTTCAGATTGTTATAAAGTGCCATTTTATCATTCATGCCAGAAAATCTAGTTACATAGTATTAAATGAGAAAAAAATATATAAAAAATAAATTAAAAAATTGTCAAAAAGACCAGTGTTTTATATATTAGAGCTTAACATTACTTGCAATCAGATCTGATTTAGCTTAGCTAGTGTACATATTGAAGTCATAGTTCCATTCAAAGATCAACAGGCATAGTATTGGACACCAGAAATCATAAATTTGCATTCATAAAGTCCCAATATTTTGTTGTTCAGATAGCAAAATGTTACAGTGTATATATATACCTTGTTCAAAAGATATTTGAAATATTTTAAAGCCAACCACAGCTGAACATCAAGAGGAGGTAACTGTTATTATCATTTTGGAATGAAACGTTGTCACCTTCAGATGTACCTTGCCAGTTACTAAGCACCAATCTAAGTATTGAAATTAAAATCTTGCATTCCATTCCGTAAATTTCGTTTCTCTTTGATTAAATGGAGCAATAGTGTATTTTCAGGTCAAATGTTGCACGATATTTTTGCTCCAGCAAATCGGAGAAGCTGTATATATATATAGAAAGATTATTGATATTGAAAATGTAATGATTAGATTTGAAAGACAATCATAATTCATTCACATAATTGACCTGATATGCTAAGTTGCAAGATTTTTATGGAGGGAAACGAAATTAACAGAATGGACCTAATGCATGATTTGATTGGTACTAGATTGAGTATACACCTTTTTTTGTTATGCCTCTGTTGTACAGGGATATTTTTGCATCCTCGTCTTACGTTGTTGCCGAAATTATTCTGCTTTATTTTGTATTTCTGGTTTTTATATTTTTTCGGATTTGTCCAACAATTGATCATTTTTAATGAAATTTGTTCATATACAGTTGACGGGTTCTTGCATGTTTCTGACCCTGGGCTGTACTGTAGTTAGTTTTAAGGTATCACTGTGCTTTCTATGGGCCTTATCTATAAAGTTAAACAATTCATTTTAATTCACAAGATGATCCATATACAAATTGCACTTGTAAGTAAAATTGCTACTGACGAGATTAATTGATGAAAGCTGTGTCTTTATTAAAAAAAAGATAGAAACTCCATTTTAATGATTGCTTTTAGCATTTATTGATTTTCATGTAAATGACTTCAATATGTTGCAGGCATAATGTTTATGAGTATCATGTTGCCTGGCTGTTTATGTAGACAAACCCATTCATCTATTTTCAAATGTAAAATTTCAGGGATAAAGCCTCATGCAACCTTCAAATGTTACTGCTGGTCATGAAAATCGCTGTGAAGGCTCGCCAGAAAGCAACCGCAAATCACAAGGCCTGTCCTATTTCATAAATAAACAACACTGGTCCGACTGTTTTGAATGCAATAAAAGAAAGTGTCTATGATCCATGTAGCTATTAAAGGGAGATGACTCTCTATCACAGTTCTAGATAAAAATGTAAGGGAAAAGTGTAGCTTTGAAAATGAGATAGCCTAGAAATGTAAGGAAGCATCATTATGTAGTTCAGCCTTCTAACCATATTGCAATGTGAAATAATGTTCCTTGATAATATTAAAGAAAAAAGCATTGAAATTTTTAAAATGAGCATATGGGTCAAAATATAATTTTAGCTAAATATGACATGTAATTAAAGTTAAACATTTTTTTTTTAATAATTTAAGGATAAAACCCTGTTTTTCCATTTGCCTTGAACATGTGACACCATGATCTTGTTTGTTTGAAGGCATTAGAGAATGGGTGTTATCATGCCATGATATATGAAAATGGGGAAGATATTGAATTATATTATTAAACTTTAGTACCTCACCTTTATAACAGAGTGTCTGATTGGATGATATTGATACCTGATGGGGCAATAAAACATAATGTCATCCTCACACTACCTGGTCTCCCCGATCATATTTCCCTTATTCAGGACCTCACTAGAAACAAAAAGGGCAAAAGCCATGCACCACAACCGAGTTCCGAATGACTGAAGCAGACAATAATTAATGGTGCGTCAACCTGTTCATCTTTACTACTGGATTATTGTTTTATTTCAACATAATAACATTTGTATTGCCCTCCTTGGTAGGGAAACACAATTCTTTGTTTCCCCTTCATTAATCATGTTTAAGTCAGGCTTCCTCCTCATGAAACATGATTAATCTCGGAGAAACAAAGAATTGTGTTTCCCTATACCTCAAGGGCTATAAATATACAATACCCGTTATATGCCTGGTAGTGCAAAATGAAAGCTGTTGATAAAATGAGTAACAGAATAGGAGTAGATGAAAATACTTGGAATTCTTTTAATTAACAAAGTAGACGTACACAGCATTGTAGAAAATCACTGGCAGGTACACATTGAGCTTATCAATACACACATAGCACTATTTGCTTTCACCTTCGACCCAAGAAATACAGACAAAACTGTAACGCTGATTTTAAAAATCATAAATTTGTTTAAATTTTAACTTCCAACTACACTATACAATATATCGTAGTCCTCAAAACCTGGCTTATTGCACATTAATGCTTATAACAAAATCCTTGGTTTGTAACAATGAACTGTTTGTAACCCTATCATACAATTAAGCAATAATAAACACATTTTTGAGGTTCCCTGTGGTTAATTACAAATGTGTTTTACAGCAATCCATGCTTGGACCATACTAATTAAGTCTTATACTTATCAATCTTCTTCTCAAATGAACAAGTAACATAGAACCATTTTTCTTTACAACTCAAGTAACACTGGAACATGGGATCTGGAATGGCACCGTTTTATCTTTACAAGTGACACACTGGATCATTGGGGCAGAATGATAATATTTTTTTCTGTAATCTAAAACTTGTAGAGTTTTGACTTATTTTTAAAATGTCCACCTTCCTCAGATTTGTTACAATGATTAATGGTGCTAATATATACACCGCAGAGATAGTGATGTGCTGACATCACTTTGTCTATAGTTTACTGTACATGTATGAGCAATTTTAAATTCTGTTTTAAACAAAACAGGTACCACTTTCCGGTATCTGGATTGACGGGTATAAAGATTTGGTCAGCACAATTTCTCTGGCTTTCAGACAATCTTGTTTCTTATGTAAAATACTTTGATGTAAACTTAGAATATCAATGAACTGGAACTTTCATGACTTACAAAAAATCCATGAAAAACTGTGAAGACAACACAAAGCTGACTTATATAATCTTATTCTTTCTCCTAATAATGTCAATAATGTGTGGATTTTATTTTATTTTGTTGCAGAATTAAATGTTTTATTGTTTAGTTGTTGTCAAACACAACTATATACTACTAAGATATAAATAACAATTCTGGCTGGTCATTTTCTCACAAGTTAACAATATTAATTCCATCTGGTAAGTTGGTCACCTAGACAACATTAAGGAATGATTTCATATCTGAATGTCACAGTGTCTGCTGGTATATGTGTGTGTGTATATGAGCATCTCATCATGAGCACTTGACAATAATGTCACCATGCCTAACATTCTGAGCTTTATTTGTCCCTATAATCACTGTGTATATCTATTTTATATGTAGATGTTAGAATGATTAACAATATCATGGCACTAATTTGTATAAAAAAAAAAACATTTCAGAACTTATTTTTACGCTCTTTTCCCAAAAATCAAGAAAAGATTTTTTTTTATGCATATAACTCTTTCTGAACCAGATCTTGTTGTTAAGTGTGAAATGAATAAAATACACTGTTTCAATTCAATGGTGCCACACATAGCGGTCTTGGGACCATGCAGAAAGCTGATTTGTTGACTCAATCTGTTTTGGCATCAATGCTAAACGGAATATTTCTACAAAAGCTTACTGAAGCATGGAGTCATAACATTTGTAGACTGCTGGAATAAACGCATACAGCTATCAAGTTTAAATGATAGACCTTGTCCCACTTTTAAAAACATGTTAACTAGATTATCTTAAAAATTTCAAAAGACTTTGAAGAACTAATGCCAGAGACCAAATGAGATTTGTCCTGTAGCTTGTTGGTGAAGGGATATCAAATTAGTTAAATTGAATTACATTGACCCTGTTTTAATGTCAGTGAATTTGGTCAAATGCAATTAACACTTTAAATTCATGACTTCTACAGAATCAAATTTTGGAAGTCAAGATACATGTTTTAAGCTATAAGCTAGCTAGGTTGGTGGACTGTTATGTTTGCTTCAAATGAATGACCTTGACCACTTTAAAGCCACTAAGATTAGTTTTGCAAAAATTACAAAATAATAATGTACACAATTAATGCCCAGGGGCTTTTCATGTAAAATTCGGATTTTAAAATTAAGCACTGAATTTGTAAAGATAAATAAGGCAGGCCTGTCAGTATATTTCTCCAGGTCCTGACAAATTAACATCCTATATAAGTGTCGGACTTTTATCTTGCTGTACCTCGCTAGTATATTTAATACGAAGCATTCACTTGAACACAAGCAAAGGATAGTCAGAGTAAAAATATTAAAGTGTATCTGAGTTGTACACAAAACTTCTGAAAATATGTACCAATATTTAGTATAGTTTCTAATTCTCAGATTCATGTCTCTTACACATATAGAGAGGATCTATCAGAAGTTTCCCTTAATTCATGTTAGATTTATGATACTAGTTTTGGATTTTTTGCTCACCTTATACAATACTGCAGCGTCCGTCGTCCGTCAACTTTACACTTCTAGTCATGAACCACTGAGCGGATTTTAACAAAATTTGGTGTGGAGCATCCTTGGGTGAATAAGAACCAATTTGTATAAATGATGGGTCTGGCCCCCCAGGGGCCTGAGGGGCGGGGCCCAATAGGGGAAATATAGCAAATTCTTTAAAATCCTTCTTCTTTTGTAGGAAAGAAAGGATTTGTTCCATATTTGGTCTGAAGCATCCTTTGGTGAAGGGGAACCAATTTTGTATAAACCGTGGGTCTGGCCCCCCAGGGGCCTGAGTGGCAGGGCCCAATAGGGGAAACATTGCAAATTATTCTTTAAAATCCTTCTTCTTCTGTAGAAATGAAAGGATTTGGTCCATATTTGGTGTGGAGCAATCTTGGGTAAAGGGGAAACAATTTTGTATAAACGGTGGGTGTGGCCCACCTGGGGGCTGAGAGGCAGAGCCCAATAGGGGAAACATAGCAAATTATTCTATAAAATCCTTCTACTTCTGTAGGAATGAAAGGATCTGGTCCATATTTAGTCTGAAGCATCCTTGGGCCGAGGGGACTTAATTTTTTATAAGCAGTGGGTGTGGTCTCCCAGGGGGCAGAAGGGCAGGGCCCAATAGGGGAAATAGAGGTAAAACCTTTAAAATCCTTCTTCGACCATCGGGATTAATTAGTCTGGAGCATCCTTGGGCCAAGGGGACTCAAATTGTGTATAATTGGTATGTATGACCCCCCTAGGGGCATAGGGGTGGGGCTCTGTTTGAAGTTTTTTCTCGCTATATCTCAAGTACTGGATGGATCTTTCTGAAATTTCATATGTACTTACAGCACCTACCATGGAGTGCTATATCTTTACTTCATTTCTAGCAGAAATAGGCCAGGATACCCTTGAAAGAATCTGTAGAATGTTAAAATCTTTGTGTACTTGTCTATTGAAAATCTTATTGGTGTGGAATAAGGATATTTTAATTTAATATAACAAAATAATAGCTAGTCTTCATTTTACTATATATCTGAATTATTTCATTTATCATATTTGGCCATGGAAATGTAAACCTGTGTTATTTAAATATGAAATAATCGAAGATGCTGAAGATGCCAGAATGTTTAGTTGAATAGCTTACATGCTATATGATTTATGTTATTGAAATTATAGAGCTATTATTATGACTAACGCCAGAAATTTGATCTTTGATTATTATTTTTCAGAAATCTGGTGTCCTAATTCGGGGAGAACAGATGTACGATATGACGGATGTGTGGTCCAAAATACAAGCTGTGGTAGGGTTCTTTCGTTCAACGCCCATCACTCCTTATCTGATTAGGGCCTTGAAAAGTGTTTAAATTTTGTATTTTTGAAATGTACTGGAAAGCAAAAGATTTTCATTTCAGTAGCAGTCCTGAAAGACTCAAATAAAGAAACAGCTTTATTATACCTTGTGCCAATGCTGTATGGCATGGAGCATAGGGAAAATAACTGCATTTGAATGTCATATAAAAACATTAAAAAAAACCAGCAAATGGTGTGGAGCCAATAAGGGAAAACATTTTAATTGTAAACTTAAGAGGCTTTTTTCACATAGTACTCGGCCATTTGGAACCAGTCACTTTCCTGACATCAACTAATGAAAATTTGTGCAAAGTCTTGGAATGACAGCCATTTGGAAACCAGCCACTTTAAATTTCATGACATCAGCTGATGGAATGTGGGAAGTTTTGAAATGACACCGTTAATTATCTCCAAGGTGTTTTTTTAATGTTCCACTATTCCATGTGTTATCGACAATAATGAAATTCTTTATATAATTTCAGTTTTTACTTTTGAAATGCTTGAATAGTGGTACTCTGTTTGGCCTGTCTTATCATACTTTGAACTAATTATGGGTAGTTTATTATTAGAACTCATTGAAATGAAACCAATCAAATAAAAATGAACATCTTGATAGTATTCAATATAAGAGTCATTGGATTGTCAAAACTTTTGGTTATTTTTCAGATTGAGTTGCTGTTACGGGAGTACCTAGATGTACAAAACACTGCTGCTTCACGACAACGGGCCCCCAGTAGCTTTGATGAGCCAAGTACAGATATCAGCCAATACTTCTCAAAGAAACGACCAAACAAACCAAAAAAGGTGTGCTATCGTTATATAGTAACATCATACTTGAACCCTTTCACCACTGTAGACCATAATGGACTCACCCAGATGAATGTATGGTAGAGTCTACTCAAGTTATATTACCTAGGGGTGAAAGGGTTAAATGTACTCGGATAGATACATGGTCTTCATAAATTGTTTGTGATATCTTTCTTTTTTTGTGCAAGATTTTGAAGATTTGTTGTAAATCAATGACAAAATTTTACAATCACAGCATTTCTCTCAACTAGTTCTTGCATTCATTGAAGTGAGATTTATGTTTCACAGTTTATCGGAAATGCTTAAAATTGCTTATAAAAACAGAGTGAGAGTGCCTGACTGATGGATGTGTGGAGATATTTTTGGAATTTTTCAAAAACATGCCTCTGCCTAGAATATTGAAGTCTTGGTTCAAGCATGTTGATGACAAAACAAATTCTGATAGAAGTACTGACTAAAATTGAGCTCAACAATGATTGTTAAACAACATAAAAACATTTAATAAAAAGATGTCACTTTTTCCTATTAACGTAATTTCTATTGATGCTAGCACTACAGACGTGTGATAAATCTATCACAGAGTAAAGCACTTTGATTAATTACTTTGTACCTGTAATACTAACACAATGATAACTTCTAATTACGATTATTACCAATTTCAGCCAGCCTTGTTTCGCTTCGATGCGTCTATTCATGCGATGAGCACCAACAGTTATGTTGAGGACAGTCGAGCGTTTGATACGGTAAGCAGATATTTTATCACACAAGGAGATAGGACATGTTGGTCCAAAAATACTTAACAAGGAGCTTGTATGTAATGTAATTAAACTTGACTCACTTATTCAAACCTTCTTTAATTTCGTGACAAGTCAAAGCAAATCTTTCATCATCTTGTATATTTCCAGAAATTTTGAAATTCAGAATATTAGATATTTCTCAATGACATTTCGAAAGTTTGTTTAAATGAATCTGCCAAGTTGGTTAAAACCTTATCAAGCTTTACAAGCTCATTATAATTAATGTTTTTTTCAAAAGGTGTTTTGTTGTTTTTTTGTCTTCCACCAATCACTTTGAATCCATAAACTGTACTTGTGAAATTCAGAATGTTAGATATTTCTCAATGACATTTCGAAAGTTTGTTTAAATGAATCTGCCAAGTTGGTTAAAACCTTATCAAGCTTTACAAGCTCAAATGTTTTTTTCAAAAAGGGTTTTGTTGTTGTTTTGTCTTCGACCAATCACTTTGAATCAATAAACTGTACTTGAAGTGTTTGTGCTGAACTATGACACATACAAGATGAAAATTTGGTGTTAATCAAGCATTGAAAAAGTGGAATCAGTTTTATATAAAGTTCAACTTAATTACACCTTAAGGTAAAATCAGAATTAGTAATACTTTCTTTGAAAACATGAAATAAACCAACAGTCTTGCACTTGGATTATAAATGGTCAATATCAGATTATATAGACAAATCATATTTATTCCTGCTCACACTTTTCTTTATATGATTTGTGAAAAATGATTCTCGTTAGCTGTTTTGGTTGAGTTATTAGCTGTAAATGTGTATTGTAGAGTGACATGTTCAATGCCAGTATGTTAGCTGAGATGGGACTGGAGAAACACCAGATGGTCTGCAAGCCTAGCGTCTACAATATCACAGGTAAGCTGATCTCTCTCAGCTAAAACAGGAGACAATCTTGTGAAGGGTGGGAGAAGTGAAAATCATTCAAGTCTAAACTAAATTATGTTTAATTACATCAGTTCTAAAGTCGCTGGCCATAGGTTGAGTCAGCATGATAATTAAACTGAGTGTCGCTGGTCAGGCTACTGTAGTTGTACATGTTGTACTATTGAAAGGCACCAACCAGTTCACTGTGTGAATGAACTTTTCATAATAATAAAGGATGATAATTTTAAACAAAGTTTAACCACACAATGGAACTGAATACATGCTGTGAGTTGTTTTATGTGTTTTTATCTCTCTCTCTGGTAGTTTGCTTAGCGAGGAATCCCCTGATTAGGGTCCAGAGGTTGACATGTGTGAATTAAACTGATATTTGATTATATTTAATCATGAAGATAACACAAATAATGTATGTAGCAATGCTAATCCTATTACAGCCATCTTTAAGCCACTACAGGACTTCATCAGGGAGGTAGAAGATGCTATTGCCTGTATGGATGGATCCTCAAGTCTTCAGGCCTTCGTCACCGACTTTGTCCAGGATATCTTCCTCGGTCAGGTCCACTACTCTGTCAAAAACAGCATAGAAGCTGCCACCATAGGTAATCTACCACAAATGTGGCCTTGTTTTGTTTGAATAGATGTTAAAGACGTATTGTTTTCTAGAAAATACCCAGCATAGTATCTGTGATTTATGTAACTCATCAATAACATAGTTGATACATATTTGAATTTGCAAACTTGAAGTGTTTTAAAATCATGTTTATGATTGGTGACATATTGGGTCCAATTTTCATGAACACTCCATAACTAAAGGAAATTTCTTACAAGTTAGATGGCTTAATTGGATTAAGAATGAATTTTCCTCTTCCTCAGTAATGCTCTTCATTATAGAAACTTTCAGGAAGTTAATCAATGTGTGTGTATTTGGATTCTGCTGCCTTTGCACAGCTTGTTAAAATATTGAAACTGTTTAAACATCTAACTATTGAAGCTTTAAATGATAAAATATTCTTAAAGGAAAACATTAAATGACCAATTGTAACTGTTCAAATGCCATACTACTGATTTGATGTGTTTGAAAAGTAAACATATGGAAATGAATTGCAGTTCGTGGGATTTGCCTCCATTTTGATCGTCTATGATGCTTATTTCATTAAGGTTTGCAGTTATGATTAATAAAAAATAAATTTTGGGGCACAATATTTTATTTACATGTTTTCCCCATCGAAAGGTTATTTTTGTATTAAGGCAGTAGGATTTACAGTAACATTTAATTATACTGCCAATATTTATTCAGCAGAATTTTGGCTTTATAAAAGAGTCTGGTGACATATCAAAAAGACAATTATGAAGCAATTGATAAGGAAAGGGTTTCATTGAAAAATGTGGTTTCAAATAAGACGAGCTTTTTTATCAAGGTTTTACCGAACTGGAAGAACACTTTATTTGTAAAAATATTATTCACCCATGAAAAAAGTGGAAAACAAATACCCAGTAGAAATGAATATTTGCCAAAAATTGTTGATTTGTAAAAATAAGGCTGGACCTCATTGTAACAACACTTATGTGAGTAATTAGCGGTACAGTGTATTTTGTGAAATGGATGTTTCTATGTAATGGTCATAACTGTCCTGTTTTGTGGTCATTCTACTGCTGCAGTGGATGAGGAAGAACAGTGTAAGTTAGCATGTTTCTGGCGGTCAATATGGCCGGATATTTACAGTGGTCAGCTTTGTTCATCACCGAAACTTTTGTTTTCCTTATTTTTCCGTCATTTTTTGTCCTCCGCTTGTTATTAGTCAAAGCGGTGATTATTATTTTCAGTCCATTTATTGGTCATATGTTCATCTCATTAATTTCCACACAACCATTCTCCACAAATCTGTTTATATTATGTACATTTGTATATTTATCACAATACACAGCTATGCCCAGTGTGAAGAGCATGGTATACTTACTTTAACTTGCAAGATTACCAACACTTCCTTACAATTTTGATTGAATGATAGTAATAATGTTCCTAAAATTTTCAGCAGTTGAACTTTTCCAAACTACACTATGAATGTATATATACATAGAATACATGTATTTTGGTATCCAAAATTTGCTAATTTTTGTGTGATTGATCATTTCAAATATTTTAGATATCCTCCTTTTCTATCGAAAAAAAATTAAAAGCATGAGAACACATTCAAGACAAGAAAGTAATATCATTTAACCAGTTAGTTGGAATTAACGTCAATAGATTTTGATGTAACTTAATGAATGGATGCGTCAGATTCACGTACGTGTTACTAAAATCATGAGGAGCTATGAGACTTAGTCATCAATACCAAATGAGGTTACAGAACGTCTACTGTCTGATCATGCATTTGAAAAATCTGTCCCTTCAGAAAGATTTTTCTGATTTTGACTGACGAACTTCTCCACATATATCCAACTCATCAAATGTGTGTATTTTTAATTTGTTATTGTTTTGTCTGTTGTGTATCCAAACTGTTTTTGTGCTGAATTTTGTGTTGTTCTTGTCTAGTGACTTAATTTTGATGTGACTGCATTTTGATGTTTTGGGGGGGGGGGAAGGTATTTATCAATCTTTCTTTACTTGAAAAATATTGCAGCACTATAGTTACTCTTTAATTTAAGTAACTGACAAATATTTATAATTTTTCAGTCACTGAACAATCAAACAAAATGCTGGGTTAACTTTGTCATAAATAAAATATCCAGGTATATCTGACTCCTGAGAACTGCTTATAATTTTGATCACATTTTGTCAAGCAGGTAAATTTCACTTGAGAATGAGTTCGCTCCATCAGATGTGAATTACAATGTACTTAATAGATATCTGCTCTATAAATTGGTTCCTTAAGAATCATTATTTGTTTTCTTACCAAAAAAAACCAGGGTCTACCTGGCTGTCAAACACATTTTTTCTAGACATTGATGGAAATCTTTACATCCAAATTACTTTTTTTTTTACAAATTTTCATATACAGTCATTAAGTAACAACCATTAACTTGTTTCTGGATCCTATTAATGCAATGTATATAAGAGCATATGTTCTTGTTTATCTATACAAATCAAATTTGATATTTACTATTACTGTTACCGGGTATTCGTTTTAAAATTATCAAAATTTAGAAATGGATGGATGTCAGTGTTTGAAGAAGGTATGGTATTGCTGACATCTGCAGATCTCTTAAATAAATTATTTATTGTTACAACAAATCCGAGTCACTAGATAAAATAACATACAGTAATTTGTGTCTTTATATATACCAGAATTTACTGTATCAAAGATTGTTGTAACCTTGTTTTCTATGCAGTGTCCACACAAATTTTGCCATACCGCAGCGTCCGTCGTCTGTCTGTCCGTCAACTTTTCCTTTAAAACGCTACTTGTCCTGAACAGCCAGGTAGATTTGAACTAAATTTGGTCTGGAGCATCTTTAGGCCAAGGGGACTCAATTTTGTGTAAATGGTGGGTGTGGCCCCTCTGTGGGCAGAGGGGCAGAGCCCAATAGGGGAAGTAGAGGTAAAACCTTTAAAATTCTTCTTCTACCGTAGGGATTGAGGGATTATATCCTAATCTAGTCTGGAGCATCCTTGTGCCAAGGGGACTCAATTTTGTATAAATGGTGGGCCCCGCTCCCCTGGGGGCAGAGGGGCGGGGCCCAATAGAGGTAAAACATTTAAAAAACATTCTATCATAGGGATTAAGGGATTTTCTCCTAATCTAGTCTGGAGCCTCCTTGGGCCAAGAGGACTCAATTTTGTATAAGCAGTGGGTTTGGCCACCCTGGGGGGGGGGGGGCCCGGGGCCAAAAGGGGGAAAAAGGGTTAAAACCTTTAAAAACCTTCTACCGTAGGGATTAAGGGATTTTCTCCTAATCTAGTCTGGAGCATCCTTGGGCCAAGGTGACTCAATTTTGTATAAACGGTGGGTGTGGCATCCCTGGAGGCAAAAGGGCAGGGCCTAATAAGGAAATACAGGTAAAACCTTTAAAATCCTTCTTCTAATTTAGAGATATAGGGAGTTTATTCTAAGTTTGTCTGAAGCATCCTTGTGTCAAGGGGACTCAATTTTGTATAAACGGTGGGTGTGATCCCTCTGGGTGCAGAGGGGCGGGGCTCAAAAGGGAAGTTTGAAGTTTTAATCTTCAAAGCCCTTCGGCTTCTCCTTCTTTAACATTCGAGGGGTTTTATCCAAATTTGGCCAGGAGCATCCTTGGAATAAGGGGACTTAATTTTGTATAAGCAGAGGTCATGGTTCGCCTTGGCAGTGGTGTGGGGTCCAATAGGGGAAATTCAGTTAAATCTTCAAAAGCCTTCTCCTTCAGGTTTATTGGAGGAATTTTAACAAAATTTTGTGTAGAGCATCCTTGGGTGAAGGGGATTCAACTTTGTATAAACGGAGGGTGTGGCCTGCCTTGGGAAAGGAGGATGGGGCCCAATAGGGGAACTTGCATAATATCTTCGAAAATTCTTCTCCTTCTGTACCATTAAGGATTTGAACCAAACTTGGTCCAAAGATAAACAGAGGTTGTGACTAAGGGGGGCAAAATGGTAAATTGAGGTTGATCTTTAAAATCGATCTCCTTCAGTATGCTAGGAGTTATTTACTCAAATTTGGTCCGTCCAGGGCATCATTTAGCAAGGGGGGACTCAATTTGTATAACAGAAAGTGTGGTCACCCTGGAATCCTTCTCCTTAAGTTCATTTGGAGGGATTTAAAAAAAAATTGTGTAGAGCATCCTTGGGCAAAGGGGACACAATTTTGTATAATTGGAGAGTTGCTTTTAGGTTAAAAGGTTAATGTTTAAAATCCACCCCAATTCGTGGAGGCAGAAAGAAGGGACCTAATGAGGGATTGGTGTTGCTGTGAGACAGAGCCAATATTTGGTAATAGTTGCAGTATTGTATATAATTAGAATAATTTTCCATGGTTGCTTGATTATCCAGGTGAGCAATACAGGACCACTGGGCCTCTTGCTTAATTAACACACGGCATGCTTTTATACTAAAAAAGGACAGAAGGGGTGAGATTAAATAGATCCTCGTTAGAAAGTGAGGAAATTGTGCATTTCATTTGTTTTTAATGCCTACCTTGAACTTGATTGAAGTACAAACAGGTAATGTCCCATTAGGGGGACACACTACTTTTAGAGTGCTAATAGACTTACTTTAAGATGTCATTAAGAAAAATGACTTCTCCTATATTAAGTTCAATCAAAAGGAAGAATGCATGCAAATATGCATACTTACCAACATGGACTGGTCCTATCCTGGACCTTAGCATATTATAATCCCTCATACTTTAAAAGTGAGCCAATGTCAGTATAAAAGTTTTTATGTCACCTGAGCTTTGCTCAAGTGACCTATTCCAATCACTTTCCGTCCGTCGTCGTTCGTCGTCCGTCGTTCGTCGTGCGTCGTGCATAAACTTTTTACATTATCAACTTCTTCTCAAGAACCAGTGGATGGAATTTTTTCAAACTTGGTCAGAATCATCCTTGGTAGATGAGGCTACCAAATTGTAAAATTGGGATTCCTACCTCAACCCTAGGGGCCAGGGCGGGGCCCCAAAGGGAAAATTAACCAATATTTCAAAAATCTTCTTCTCCAGACTCAGAGGTATTACAGTCATTTTCCCGGTATTGATGGAAAGATCATCAGGGGCTTAATTTAAATTGATTTCCACATCATATCTAAACAATAAAATAAAGCTACCAGTACCTATGCTATAACTCAGGTGACCGCTAAGGCCCTTGGGCCTCTTGTTTTATGTATATATCCCTTATTTATAACGGCTAATGAAATGCTCCTGACATTGTGCTCATGTGTTGTTTGTTTATATTTATACTGATTTAAATGGAGTAGTGTACTTACCGACGGTCACTGATTTCCTTCTATCTTGTCCAAATATTAGCATTTTTAGGTCACCTGAGCTTAAGCATGCGTCGTCCGTTAACATTTTACATTTTCAACTTAAGCTGAAATACTGGCAAAGGGATTTCATTAATATTTCATGGGAAGGTTACTGACATCTCCCTGACCAAGTGTTGTTATTTTTCGGGTCGATCAGAAATCCAAAATGGCCGCCGCAGCCGCCATTTTGAAAAACTTTTTCAAATTTAAAGCCAAGTTCTACTGGGCTGATTGAACTGAAACTTAATAGGAATGATCGACTCATGGTCCTGACAAAGTGTTGTTATTTTTGGGGTCGATCAGAAATCCAATATGGCCGCCACATCCGCCATTTTGAAAAACTATTTCAAACTTAATGTCAAGTTCTACTGAGCCGATTGAACCGACACTTAATAGGAATGATCGACTCATGGTCCTAACAAAGTGTTGTTCTTTTTTGGGTCAATCAGAAATCCAATATGGCCATCAAGGCCGCCATTTTGAAAAGCTATTTCAAACTTAAAGTCAAGTTCTGCTAGACTGATTGAACTGAAACTTGGTAGGAATGATCGACTTATGGTTCTGACAAAGTGTTGTTATTTTTCGGGTCAATAAAAAATCCAATATGGCCGACACGGCCGCCATTTTGAAAAAACAATTTAAAACTTTAAAACAATTTAAGTTCTAATAGGCTGATTAAAATGAAACTCGGTCTAGGAATGATCAGCTCATTGTCGGGACACTACCATCAACAAGGTAGCTCAATATGTTAGAGCTGTAGCACAGTAGAGTCGGGACACTACCATCAACAAGGGGGCTCAATCTGTTAGAACTGTAGCACAGTAGAGTCGGGACACTACCATCAACAAGGTAGATCAATCTGTTAGAGCTGTAGCACAGTAGAGTCGGGACACTTCCATCAACAAGGTAGCTCAATCTGTTAGAACTGTAGCACAGTAGAGTCGGGACACTACCATCAACAAGGTAGCTCAATCTGTTAGAACTGTAGCACAGTAGAGTCGGGACACTACCATCAACAAGGTAGCTCAATCTGTTAGAACTGTAGCACAGTTGAGTCGGGACACTACCATCAACAAGGTAGCTCAATCTGTTAGAACTGTAGCACAGTCAGGACACTACCATCAACAAGGTAGCTCAATCTGTTAGAGCTGTAGCACAGTAGAGTCGGGACACTACCATCAACAAGGGAGCTCAATCTGTTAGAACTGTGGCACAGTAGAGTCGGGACCCTACCATCAACAAGGTAGCTCAATCTGTTAGAAATGTAGCACAGTAGAGTCAGGACACTACCATCAACAAGGCAGCTCAATCTGTTAGAACTGTAGCACAGTAGAGTTGGGACACTACCATCAACAAGGTAGCTCAATCTGTTAGATCTGTAGCACAGTAGAGTCGGGGCACTATCATCAACAAGGGAGCTCAATCTGTTAGAACTGTGGCACAGTAGAGTCGGGACCCTACCATCAACAAGGTAGCTCAATCTGTTAGATCTGTAGCACAGTAGAGTCGGGGCACTATCATCAACAAGGGAGCTCAATCTGTTAGAACTGTGGCACAGTAGAGTCGGGACCCTACCATCAACAAGGTAGCTCAATCTGTTAGATCTGTAGCACAGTAGAGTCGGGACACTATCATCAACAAGGTAGCTCAATCTGTTAGAACTGAAGCACAGTCAGGACACTACCATCAACAAGGTAGCTCAGTCTGTTAGAACTGTAGCACAGTAGAGTCTGGACACTTCCATCAACAAGGTAGCTCAATCTGTTAGAACTGGGACACTATCATCAACAAGGTAGCTCAATCTGTTAGAACTGAAGCACAGTCAGGACACTACCATCAACAAGGTAGCTCAATCTGTTAGAACTGTGGCACAGTAGAGTCGTGACACCACCATCAACAAGGTAGCTCAATCTGTTAAAACTGTAGCACAGTAGAGTGGGGATACTACTATCAACAAGGTAGCTCAATCTGTTAGAGCTATACAGTAGAGTCGGGACACTACCATCAACAAGGTAGCTCAATCTGTTAGAGCTGTAGCACAGTAGACTCGGGACACTACTAGCAACAAGGTAGCTCAATCTGTTAGAGCTATACAGTAGAGGCGGGACACTACCATCAACAAGGAAGCTCAATCTGTTAGAGCTGTAGCACAGTAGACTCGGGACACTACTAGCAACAAGGTAGCTCAATCTGTTAGAACTGTAGCACAGTAGAGTTGGGACACTATATATACCATCAACAAGGTAGCTCAATCTGTTAGAACTGTAGCACAGTAGAGTCGGGACACTATCATCAACAAGGTAGCTCAGTCTGTTAGAGCTGTAGCTCAGTAGAGTCGGGACATTACCACCAACAAGATAGCTCAATCTGTTAAAGCTGTAGCACAGTAGAGTCGGAACACTACCATCAACAAGGTAGCTCAGTCTGTTAGAACTGTAGCACAGTAGAGTCGTGACACTACCATCAACAAGGTAGCTCAATCTGTTAGCACTGTAGCACAGTAGAGTCAGGACACTACCATCAACAAGGTAGCTAAATCTGTTAGAACTGTGGCACAGTAGAGTCGGGACACTACCATCAGCAAGGTAGCTCAGTCTGTTAGAGCTGTAGCACAGTAGAGTCGGGACACTACCACCAACAAGGTAGCTCAATCTGTTAGAGCTGTAGCACAGTAGAGTCGGGACACTATCATCAACAAGGTAGCTCAGTCTGTTAGAACTGTAGCACAGTAGAGTCATGACACTACCATTAACAAGGTAGCTCAATCTGTTAGAATTGTGGCACAGTAGAGTCGGGACACTACCATCAACAAGGTAGCTCAATCTGTTAGATCTATAGTACAGTAGAGTCGGGACACTATCAACAACAAGGTATCTCAATCTGTTAGCGCTGTAGCACAGTCGAGTCGGGACACTACCATCAACAAGGTAGCTCAGTCTGTTAGAACTGTAGCACAGTAGAGTCATGACACTACCATTAACAAGGTAGCTCAATCTGTTAGAACTATAGTACAGTAGAGTCGGGACACTACCATCAACAAGGTAGCTCAATCTGTTAGAACTGTGGCACAGTAGAGTCAGGACAACACTACCATCAACAAGGTAGCTCAGTCTGTTAGAACTGTAGCACAGTAGAGTCGGGACACTACCATCAACAAGTTAGCTCAATCTGTTAGAACTGTAGCACAGTAGAGTCGGGATACTACCATCAACAAGGTAGCTCAATCTGTCAGATCTATAGTACAGTAGAGTCGGGACACTACCATCAACAAGGTATCTCAATCTGTTAGAACTGTAGCACAGTCGAGTCGGGACACTACCATCAACAAGGTAGCTCAATCTGTCAGATCTATAGTACAGTAGAGTCGGGACACTACCATCAACAAGTTAGCTCAATCTGTTAGAACTGTAGCACAGTAGAGTCGGGACACTATATATACCATCAACAAGGTAGCTCAATCTGTTAGAGCGATAGTTTAGCAGTCTGAAGTTCAGGGTTCAAATCTGGGTCTAGCCCTGCGGTGTTGTTTTACACTCAGAACACTGTTGTTGACTACATTTTGTATATGTCATCTTTATCATTTCTGATGTAAGTCCCACACGGTACGGTTTTCTTTTCAAAAATGATTTATAAATACTATAGTCATGCTGGAAAAAATGTGTCCAATACTTTGATGAGCATTTTGGTAGTGGTACATCTCACTATATCTGTCTGTCAGAGTATCCCAATAAGTCATATCAGTTGTTACCATTCTTCTGCTTTCACCCTCGATTTGGTTTGGATGAAACTTCACACTAGTGACCCTGTTTCAGAGTCCTATAGCAGAGGTCAAAGTCACCGTTACTAGATGGTTTATCATTGCCCACCATCCTTATTTTATGTCAGGTTTTGATGAGACTCTATCTATTGTTCAGTACATGATACTTCAGACAAGTCAAAGGTCACTGTTACTATAAATAGAACATGTCTGTCATCACTTTACTGCCCTCAAACTCTATAATGTACTTAAACTACATTGAAAAGTTTGCAGTTCACACAGGCCATGAACCAAAGGTCATTCTCACACTGTTATTATAAATAGAAAATGGTTTTCATGTCATAGTTGTCGGCTGGATAACCGATCAAATTACTCAGTAGTGAAGCAGATAAGTAAATAATGAGAAGGATTTTGTAGTTTCTAGTACATGTAAATGAATAAAAAAATACACTTTATAATTTGCATGTTTGCCGTTATAAATATGTGATGATTTATTTGCATTTCAGATTCATTGTTTCTTTGTCATTTCAGGCTTTGACTCTCTACGTCACGTCGTTGATCACAAAACACAAAGAGATCTTGGTGTTTCTCGGCCCTTACTTACAGTGAGTTGTCTTCCTTTACTAATGATGGTTTTAAGTGCCTACCTTGAACTTGATTGAAGTACAAACAGGTAATGTCCTATTATATTAGGGGACACACTTTCAGAGTGCTATAAGACATACTTTAAGATGTCATAATTACAAAATAAAATACAATTTTTGTCTCGCCGCCACAAAGTGGAAGCAAGACTTAGGTGTTGCTTTTCCGGCGATGGAGGCAACATGAAGTTTTTGTGTTAAAGTTAGTTTCTCTGAAAGCATAAGTGCTACACCAACCAAACTTGGACCATAGATGCATCCTAGGTAGTACATCTCAACTCATGCATTAAATGCTGGATGCGGCATACCTTTCATGGTCGATAGACTTTGTCAGCATCTCCGAGATCAATCAACATTAAGTTTTTGCGTTTAAGTTAGTTTCTCTGAAAGTATAAGTGCTAGATCAACCAAACTTTCACCATAGATGCATCTTAGGTAGTACATCTCAACCCATGCATCAAATGCTGGATACGGCCTACCTTTTCCGGTCCATTGACTTTGTCAGCATTTCCATCAACATTAAGTTTTTGCGTTTAACTTAGTTTCTCTTATATGTTGATTGATTTTCTAAGTTGGTTATAGGCAAAACATATCAATCCAAATGGCTTGTCTAATAATTCCTGTGTATTGCTAAGGATGTATGCTGCCATTATGTTGATTGAATGTGAACAGGGTAGACACTCCAATTACTCTTTCAATTAGGCGGAAAGGCTCAAACAATTCTGGTTTTGAATTGGTATGTTTATTTTGTGATTATACAAAGTTATACAATTTTATAACAAAAGGCATATAAATAATTCAAAATTATAATTGATTTCCAGAGCACTGTAATTGTGGATAAGAACATACAGGACTTACAGGAGTTAATGCAAGATCTGCCAACATATGCTGACCAATTTCTCAACATGATCTGTAACATACTGAAGGATTACAGAGACACATGTCACACAGCATACAGGGGTAAGTCACAGACACACCTGTCAGACATCATACAGGGGTACTTAGTCACAGACACACCTGTCATACAGCATGCAGGGGTAAGTCACAGACCCACCTGTCACACAGCATACAGGGGTAAGTCACATACACACCTGTCAGACATCATACAGGGGTACTTAGTCACAGACACACCTGTCACACAGCATACAGGGGTACTTAGTCATAGACACACAGCATACAGGGGTAAGTCACAGACACACCTGTCAGACATCATACAGGGGTACCTAGTCACAGACATACCTAGCTTGCCACACAGCATACAGGGGTAAGTCACATACACACCTGTCACACAGCATACAGGGGTAAGCCACATACACACAGCATACAGGGGTAAGTCACAGACACACCTGTCAGACATCATACAGGGGTACTTAGTCACAGACACGCATGTCACACAGCATACAGGGGTACTTAGTCACAGACACGCATGTCACACAGCATACAGGGGTACTTAGTCACAGACACACCTGTCACACGGCAAATGAGCTTTACTTCATTCAGAGTGACAGGGATATGTTAAATTATTGTAACTTGTAGGTACATTGTTTATATTTCTTTGTTACCATTGGCGACCTGTAGGTATGGTTCAGTATGATGCGGATGAGAAGCGAATGATCAGTGCTATGTGGGCTAAGGATGAAGACATCAGCAGGTTTCTCAGGTAAAGTCAGCTGGTTACAATGGGGTAATATGATCATAACAATATCCGACAAGTTATAATCCTAGATTTACAGAATGTCATTCTGTCAGTTTATCTGTAATTAATTGCTTTCTGAATAAAGATGTGAAAAGTTACTAGATTTGGTGAATATGTTTATTAAATAGCAATAACCAACTATTAGATTTATATGCAATACTTGAAACTTTTGCATATTTAACAATTATCCTAAACTCTTTCAAAATCTTTACTTACCAAATTTTATGAATTTATTTAAGGATGGGAAGTGTCATAGTAAATACCTATTCATATAAATTCTTCTCACTTCTTTTCAGAATTGATCATCTGTCAATTTGTATTTCTGAACATTATTTTTAAATGTCATAGTTTCAATTACACTAATGTTTAACAAGATAACATGTGTGCTCTATCCACTAGACAAGACATGTAATATACGGAATATTAGATGAAACTTACTGTAAATGCTCTAGATATTCTTTAAATATTCTACTTTAATTTGTATGTTATTCTGTGTTTGTGTGGATAATATAAACGTGTACAATGTTGAATTTATGGTTTTGACATTACAACTGTAGATTGTGTTATTTATATAAAGTTCATCATGTTGATTTTCCAAATCCAGTTGACTAAGAAAATACCCCTGTAACAGAAATAAGCCTGTATATGTTTATATATAAAGTGATATTGTCTGTTCATTCTCTGTGGTTATTTCTGTTTTCACAGGTCCTTGCCAAGTTGGCAGGTTCTGCAGCCAATGGAGGGCCAGGACATGAACCAGGCGATGTGTTCAGAGGAGGAGATGAGGACCCTGAACTCTAAGGAGGTGAACATCCTCATTAGTAACCTGTCTTCATCAGACTCTATGATCCCTCAGCAGGAGATCATCACAGACGCCACACAGATGAGGACCATTGCTAACTACCATCAGAGTCTCGTATGTAAAACTCCACTTGTTAATCATATATACTAGCTGATTTTATGTTTTCCAGGCAAGAATTGTGAAATGTTCCATCTTAACCATCGTTATTATCCGCCCTGTCCTCTTTTGTCCCCTCCCGACTAGGTGACATCGCACTTAAAATTTCATACAAAGGTCAAATATGAGAAAACTTTGAATTAGTTTGTATTTTAGGGTTCTAAGGTCAAGGCTAAGGTCACTGTTACTATTTATAGATATGTCAACCACTTATTACCAGTTCAGTGACATCCCACTAGCAACTTCATTTCTTTACAGATTTTTGATGAAACTATATACTACAAAGTTCAAGTAAGGATCCGGAATACCTCATATAATTTTAAATTTTTCTAAGATTATGGATAGTGTTTTCTCCCGATTTGAAAAAAATAGGGGGGTGGGCGGATTTGGTTGTGTGTTACAGGCTGAATATATAAACTTATCAGAGGATGTACACAATATCCCTTCAGGAGAAAAACAATGTGTATTTACTGTGGATAATTGAATTTTTGTGATTGTACTTCAGATGTCGTAAAATTTGAATTTAAATTCAGTGTAATCCATTACTGTTTAAAGGTAATTGAACTCTCACTCATGACAAGTTAATTGATGAAAGACACATATTATCATGATCAGTCAAATTCATGTCTTACAAATGACTGAACTAGGAGTCTGTTAACCTTTAAGTTTGACCCCTTTGTGTTTGTATTTACAGGAGTGGTTCACAGGTAGACTAGGACACTTTGCCCAATCACTTTCCTCCAAGTCAGACAAACATGGCACCCAGAAATCATCAGTAAGTCTTGTGTTAGAATCTTACAGAAACAATATGATAAACAACAAAGACAAGGTACCAGAATTGAGAATGAATTTTATGATGACAAAGCAATGACATTTTTCACCAAGTGAAGGCAACATATAGGGATTACAACATTGGTGTCATTGTCCACACAAAAATTTCATTGCAATAATTACTCACTTATATATTGCGTTGATTGGATGAATTGTATATCTATGTACTGTCAAGTGCTTTAGAGAGGCTTATTGTAGCTAAAAAAAATAAAAAAAATATATATATATTTTCTCATTTTTCGCAATGATTTTCTTATGCTACCTGCTCAATACATAATTTAACTAGCTTAACCAGGTATTTTCTTTCATTTCTAATTAATGTCTTTGGTACAGAACGTGGCAAATATGAGTTCCTTTGCTTACTAAGCAGTTGTATTTTTGTAAACTGTCTATAATTTGTATAGAATCAGGTCTAATGACTATTGATGGTAACCAGGTCATTTTCTCCCCGAGGTTACAACTGGTCCAGACCAAAAGTGATCTGCACCTGGGTACTTGCAACAGTTCTTCTAATTATGTTGAAAAATGTATCTCTAAAATGGGTCCTAGATATATACAAATGGGTTATGTATCTTTGGTCTTAGTTGTCTGTATGTGAAATGTGATAAAGGAAAAGTGAATGTTAAAAGTTTGTTTCGTCACAAGTTCGATTAAAAGAGTAGTGTAAATATAACTCAAATCTTCAGTATATGTTTATGATGCGTCTGCACTGGTATAGGAATTTTAAAGTTCACATTGTGCTTTTTGTGGTCACTCCTCATATTTCACATTCTGATGATTCTGTAAGGAGCTACTTGTAAGTTATTTACAATGACCAATATAGCGAAACTTGCTATAATATAATATTGTAATATTCTATTTGCCTGAGAAAAGTATTATAATACCCTATATATTATAATGAGCGATCAAGCTGTTTTCAATCGTTTTTAGGTTGTATAAACCGGAAGTGAGATGCCCTTATAAGTATTTGACATAGATAGATGTGGAAACATGGAAAGATATCAATACGAATTGATACTGTAATGATTGAAATGAATTGTTAATTGTTATTCATATCAGTGTGTTGAAAAAATTCAAGAAAATTGCATTTTGCCGTCGTAATAATCTGTGTGTAAATTCTACTTTCTCGTTAATGTATCCTTTTAAACTTTGTAACTTAACTGTTTCAGAAATATCCTCCAGTATCCCACAAAGCATTAGAGTAAGTACCATGACAATACTATACAGCTGTCAGTACAGTAAAACCGTGTACATGTGGTCACTTTCAACTGACTCTATCTCAGAGGAAGTACCATTTCTAAATAGTTTTGTTTAAAAGAAAAATGCCTTGCCAGTGATGTTCATAATAATATATATATATATTATATACATTAGATAATTTAAAGTTATCACTTATCTTTTTTTTTGTAACTTTGCATCTGTTTCAGTTGCCAGTAATAAATACATATTTATATATATATATACATAATTGCAGGTCACTGAACACACTGGAGAAAGATTTCCAGGACCTGGCTGAAATTTGTCTGCTATTGTTACACTTAGAGGTCAGAGTTCACTGCTTCTACTACCTGGAATTAGTTGCCAGAAAGGTAAGTACAGTAAAGATAACACAACTCTAAAGTGTGCCTGTAATATACCTGGAAGTGATTTCTGGAAGCTAAAGGTAAATACTGTTTTATAGGTGGCCCTCTGTCTTGGTAACCATCAAATTCTAGATAATGCTCAAATTAAAATGTCCCCTTATTTGGTGAAACTAACTAAAATGATCAGCTTAACATTTTAAAACATGAAATGTAACACATGTAGATATTGAATATTTTCATTATGAAATTGCTGTGTACTATGTAGTCAGAGATTATTATTTTGGGACATTGTTTCAGTCCAACTATGCGGGACCTATTGATGACCTTGACCCGGATTCTAATGTCTTGAAGTTGAACAAAGATCTGACTGCGATGGAGGAGGTGTTATCACAGAGCCTGCAGCCAAATAAGTTTAAGTCAGTAGATATTATAATTATATCCCAGTACAATGTTCTTTCCAATTACATTACACATCAAAAAATATTTTTAAGTCATTTACATGTCTTTGTCCATACACTTCATAGATATTTAATTTTGTGGTATCTTTAGTGACTACGAATATAGCGAATTTAATCAACCGCAAAAATTACCAACCATGCAGAATTTGCAAGCAGTACACTTACTGTATTTATAGTTTATGTACATGTTATTTCTTTTATACAATTTTCTTATCATGTGTACATATTATAAATCTCCTGTCAGTGTCATGTATTATACAATATGTAGATAATTAACTCCTTCACCCCTGAAATTTCATAATAAACTATTCCAACCTTTGAATTGGAAGAGTTCAAATGTGTCTTCAGGGGTAAATGAGTTAACATTGCATTCACGTGATTGGTACATTTTGTTTTCTTTTGTTTTAAAGCTACTTATTTTCTGTTCAGATACATTTTTGAAGGCCTTGGTTTCTTGGTGGCCTCCATATTGATGAACAGTATACAATTTTTACCGAAGATTAATGAGAATGGCATTAAGAAGATGTAAGTGGACCTAGCTAATGATCTGTAACTAGTAGAGTGGAACCTTGATAATTAGAGCTCTGGTATTCAAGTAATCTAAAGTCCAGATTTATTCTTTAATTTTTTATGGTAAATTTGCAAAAAATATATATTCTAAGTAATATTTGAAAATCAAATTTATCCAGAATGTTTTGGAATTTTGTAAGATTATAATTATTATATAGCAGCAGTTTTTGTGTACCGGTATTTCCAAATCAAACAGAAAATTACCACATGAAAATCGTTCAGCGTATCTTACATAAAACTCATAGTTACAGCAACAACGCATTGAGTATAATACATACTGTAGCTCAGATTGACAAAAACTGTATTGAGTAGAATTAAGGAATTGTTTGATTGATAACATAGTTATAACTATATATTTGAAATTTCTAATACAGTTTTTGGAAGTTGAAGTCAGCAATTTGACCTTAACTCCTAAGAGGTTGAAATAAAAGGATAGAAATTTAAATGAAGTAGTTCAAGTTAATGTTTTACAAAGATTCACCCATATAATAAAGATCTATTAGAATTTTGATAAATCAGCCATCATTCACAATTATATTTGTATATACTCATGTAAGATGTTGTTTCTGTGTGACAGGTGCCGGAATCTGTTTGCTATTCAACAAAACCTGACCAACATATCCATGTCCCGGGAGACTGACCTTGACATGGCCCGCCAGTACTACGAGCTTCTCTACTTGAACCAAGATGTATGTTGTGAGATAAAGCAATCAACAAACAGTATTTGCAACTTTGGAACCAGGGGTGGAAGTGGTGGAAATTTGTCGATTGTAACCTTCTAAAAGATTATTTCTCTTCAAGGGCTTGATAAATTTAAACCAAATATAGCACTTACATCAGGTGTACAAAAGAATCAAATGTGTGAATGAAGGCTGTTATCCTCTTCTGGTGAGAGGTGGGGCCCAAATGTAAAAGCAGGCTATTTAATCTTCAAAAGTAGACTTCTCTTAAAGAACTGCACAGATGTGTAGCATATTTGGTCCCAAAAATGGGAATTTATGGCATTTTGTTTCAAAATTCTATTCCTCTTAAATGGCTGCACAGATTGTAAACCTCTCTTGGGCCAAGTTTTGGTGCAACGCTATATTTTGGCCTACACACACAGCTCTGCCCCTAGGGTCTTATTCCCTAGGTCATAATATTGAAACAGTGGAGGTCATTATATAACCATATTTATAAAAAAAGTCACTGGCTCAACATAGTAACATGATCACATTCATGCCAACAGGATTTTGCCTTAGGGATCTCCCACCACTCCTGGGAACTTAGTCACAGAAATCCCCACCCTATAACCATTGAAGTATTGAATCTAGTTTTGTCAGTTTCATCAAATGATGAGTTGAGTAAGTCTCAAAACAAACTTCAGGAACTGAAGAAAGTAAGAGCTTGAAATTTAGTATTGCTGAATTTAGATTTTGAAATAAAAATACAATCCCCATGAAGATAATTACCAAAAGAGAAAGAAAGTAAAGTTCCAGTATTAACTCTTTGTTACCATATTTTAAAAAACCCAGATAACTCTGAATAAAATTAATATCTGAAATATTGCGGATGAATCAGGTGTTGATAGGTTATGACCAGTAACGCTTTCATTTGTACAAGTTTTTCATGGCGTACATGATTTTTTGTAGGACATCCTAACTGCCATAGCTGAAAAGGGTGCCCAGTTTACCTATACAGAGTACTGCCAACTTATCCAGCTATACCACCGGAGCCATCCAGGGGGAGACCCTAACCAGCTCGACAAACGGATGCAGAGGCTAAGGGAGATAATCGAGAAGGGACAGAACGGAGTTGCCTGAAACCAGCCATCTTGTGCAAAACATGTTTAATCATGTTAGCAAAAGAACATCAAGATTATAATAAACTGCACATCAGAAAAAGAAAATTTAGATTAAACGGCCAATTAGTGTTGTGTTGCAAAGCTACCACACTTAAACAATGGTAAGTCCTTGGAACTTGGATATGGAAAACAGTCGAATGGATACAATATGAAATGGTCGAATTTCAGATGAACCAATGTCCTATGAAATCGGTTCACAAACAAGGGAGGCAAAGATGAAATATTTGTCTTTCAATGAGAAAAAAAGGAGTAAACACTAGCTTTGTTTTCAAGAGAAGACAAGTTATTTTGGTGTGACCAGAGGTGGGGTAATGGAAATAAAGCTGTAATTAATTGTAATGAATCAAATGTGATAAGTTTAATACAAAAGTGTGAATGAAATTGCCATTACAAATATGCATTATTTGTAATGGGAATTTCATTCACACTTTTGTAACTTAGTTCATAATCCAGTTACATTTCCATGTAAATGAATCCATGCCTGGGTGTCTCCGAAGATGGTGTGTCTCCCTTTTATAGGATGCGATATGAAAGATAACCAGGGGAAAGATACAAACATTCCCAAACCAGATTCGCCAAGGGTCTACACAGTTACAGAGAGACAATGGGAGGTTCTCCTTTTGTTATGTATAAAGAAATTTCTCACCTATGATTTGCTTTTATAAAGAGAAAGATCTAGATAAACTCAATGTCGTGTTCTGTAGAAATTCTAGATATATTCCTGAACTGTGAGACGAAAAGTTTGAAGTTCACTTAATTTTGCTAAAATGTGCTTTTAATATTTCATAATATCACACAATACACAATAAATTGCTGGATATTTTCAACGATTGCTTGTAGCATGTCACACTTACTTTCATTCCAATACTTATTCTAGAAATGTGTTGTTAACTTAAACCTAGAATTTTACCATGTAATCCACTGAAACAGACACACAGACATTGGCTACCTTATACTTTATAAATGTGATGCTGTGTAAGAGTAGACTACATTCGAAACACTTTCACCACTATTTCGTTCAAAAGTAAAGTGATTTTGTCAATGTGTACATTCTTGTGTACCTCATATGTCATCACTAAAATAACAAGATCTGATTCTTAGTGTGGAACTCTTCAGGCAAAAAAAGATACATTTGACAAAAAAGTAGCATGTATCCTTAATTGATAATACTTATAATAGCACATCTCGTGTCAAAGTTGATGATACTGATTTTAGTGCATCACTTATCTTGCCATCGCAATCATGAAACCTAAATCTTTTCCTTAAAATCATGATACTTGCTGATTTGAAATCTGTCCATGTGTCAAAATTTCTGAACAAAGGGAGATAATTCTGCTACTATTGATGTTTGTACAGATATACTTATTTAGACCACAGGAACTGTCCTCATCTGATTATATCATAGGTGTATTGACAGACGAGGCTAGTACCGGTGTTTGGACAGGTTTCAGGTGTATGATGAAATCAAATGTGTTACAAAGTAACATAGTTTAAACATCACCATTTTGGCTTATGCTTTCATCTTTTTATCTTAAAATGGAGTATGTTAGATTCAAATTTCTGAGAATCATTGATAGCCTTGTGTGTATTGTCCCTATTCAATGATAAACAAAAATGGAAATATCAAGTAAACTTTCTTATAAATCAGTGCCAACAGGAATAGCTGGCTTCCTTTTTCAAATTATGTATTTATGCTTTCTGTTCAAAAATTTCTTCATTTTTGTAAGGAAGTATAAGAAAATGGCTATGAACAGTAGGTCAACACTGAAACAAATTCTGAAGTTGGCTGCATTATTTTGCTGTACATTGTCATTTTGTGTTTGTGTACACTGGTGCTTTAAGTGCAATATTTGATATTGAGTCATACCGAGTCAGTATGTTTTTGTGATATGTGAGATTTTATTTATATGAATTCAATTTTGTCTGCATAAATAAATGTATGAAACAAACTGTTTTTTAGTTATCCTTTGTCAGAGCATATACTGTCATACTTCTGTCTGTCCTTCTGTGTGGATTTTTCAGGCTAGTGTTTTACTAATTTACATGAAAATTCACACAAGTTCTCCTGACATCAATCTCTTCAGATCATTTTAATTGGTCAAATTTAAAGCTACATAATCTGTACATGACCATGGAAAAGTCAGCTTTTCCACACATTCTCTTGACTAAAACTTGAGACCAAATTTCATGAAACTTCACACAATTATTTCAGACATCCATCTCTGGAGACTGGTGGAAGGTCAAGTCAAGTGTGAGGCCTCTTTCCCTAAGGCACATCACTTACATATGACTCGGACCACTCATTCCCTTAGTTGACGAATCTCCAATGAGGTCAACTCCTCTTAGGACACAATCCCTCATAAGGCACATCTTTTAGAGGACATTATATTCCCTCGAAGACAAATCCTTTCAGGGGACACATTCCCATAGAATGCATATCCCCACAAAGGACACGTCCCCTTCAGTAGGGCACATTTATCAGAGGACAAGTCCCCTCTAAGGCAACATCTCGCAGCGGATGCATCTGCTAGATATCTCAAGATATTTTCAGTGGATTAACTTCAAACTTCATAGAAAAGTTAATAACCATGAGAGCTTAGATGTTTTGGATAACTACCATTATCTGTCTGTAATTTACCAAGTTATGTCCCTTTATTCAATTGCCAATATGGTATCCAATTAATCAGTGGAGTGAGTGCAATCACAATATTATATCCCCATGATTAATATAGTTATTCCCCTTGGCTCATTAATGCACTACTACATGCATTCCATGGTATTTGTGTTGCATTATTTCTTCTTTTTCATCAATTACTCGCAAATATTTCATATAAATTCAACGTGGGTATTATCTACTTCCTTGCAGTAACCTTGTTTCATTCTGAAATAAAAAATTAATGTGCATCATGGATCCTGTTCTTTATAAATCAGTGTATTGACTATTTGTATACAATTATTCACAGATACCTTTATATATTTTTGTTAATGACATTGACATCAAGGAAAATATGTCACACATCCTGGTAATACCACTCAGCTCATTTCCAATACAGGATCTTCCGAAATTTTTGACACATGACTTAGATATCAATAGCATTAAAAACTACCAGTTTGTGAATTGGTGTCATTTTAATGTTGTAGGATGTCCCGACTTTGAATGCATATTCATTATCAGTTTGCTAAATTCTATTGCCTATCAAATACTGATTTGTGTGTCCAACATGGTTTTAAAATTCAATTTATTTCAAATTAAAGATGGTGGTTGTTTAAATTTGATTTATAAGGAGAGTATCCAGGAAGTTAAAAAAGAATATTCATACCTAGTGCCTACAAAAAACATATTTATTCTATTTGAAAAAATAAACAATTTGAATATTTGCCTCATTTTAATTTACTACATTGTTTAAAAATGTGTATACACTTTTCCTACTGTATTAGTGGGATAGGGTCCCTAAAGTAGGTATCAATGAATTGGTACTACACCTAACCATAATCAACACCGTTTCAAAATGCTTAGTACACTGCTGTATGTTATTGTATGCGACTATTTCTTCACTGCAGCATCAGTGTTGTGTTTGAGCCTTGTATGTATGGATCACCTGATGTCACCTGACAATATATAACTACACTATGTACCTGTCTTGTGAGCATACTATAGTGGCAATGGATTTCATAATGGACAATATAATACTTCTTAATCTGATATATGTAAAAGAAAACTTCATATTAACAAAGCCACTGATACGTAGAAAATATGTTATATTCAGCATCCGCAACAAAACTATTGATGCAGTAACATCGATGTAGCACTTACGGCTACCAAGATATCATCCTGATATTCCAGTAGTTACACTCCCTTACGCTCTCTGCACACCTGGAATATGTCATAGCAAAATCGAAGACTCAGTGTGTGCAAGCTTGTGGATGAGACAAGAAGACTAGTTTGATCCTTGGATGTACATCAAAATAATATCGCGGTCGCGTAACGGTAAAATTGGCCGGCTTTGAAGTCTGGTGTCGCTCCTCTGTGATCTTCAAAGGACAGGCACTAGTCTAGCGATTGGTCAGTTTTTTTTACCTGTGACCATTCAAATAGCTAACTGCGTGCCTACAATTTTGCCATGACATATTCAAGGGGTTCAGAGTACGAAAGTGAGCGTAGCCTCTGGAGTATCAAGGATGACAAAGATATGGATTGAACAATGCCTCTTAACCAGCTTGATACGCACGGATAAACCCCGTTTATGTCTTCCATAAACTTTCATGACTTCGTTGAGCGGGAGATAGATACAAATAAAACTTAAATCTTACATTATCAAGATGTCTTATATGCTGTATAAGATACCTTCTATAACTTTATGAAATACAGGACTTCACCCAGGCGACCGGGGTCCGATTCCCCGATCGGACGTGAAAAGGTATGGGGTGATCTGCCCGAACACGTGGGTTTTCTCCGGGTACTCCGGTTTCCTCCTAGAGTGATTAATGTAAGCTGTAAAAACCTGTTTCATAATTGCTGTAATATAAACAAAGTTCAATGAATCAAGTTGGCTTGTCATATTAAGCTGATATCGAGCTATTACGAATCCAATCATTATAGAATACGTCTAGCATGTCAGCTTACAATGGTCCACGTACCAGGAACCTGTAAAGCTCGTTATAATGCCCTATTGTCCTATATGGGGCAAAGTATCTCCCCTAATGACCGTACTAGATTAGTCAGACATCGTCCAGGACGGACATGTCCAGCTCGTACAACATATTTTCTTCCCATGCACCATTTACATCAACAAACATACCTTTCTCTACAAGACAATTCTATATCTGTTCTATTATTTGGTCGTTTTATGAAATGTTAAAAATTATCAAACAACTGCCAGTTTTTCAATAGTGAACATTTGTGAATTTAGCGTTTTAAGAGAAATTTCTCCGTGTACTAAACACGTATACCTAGAGGCGTTCGTATCCACTGTTATGACGTAGGCTGTCTCTAGCTGTCATTCTTTTGACACAACCGACAAAGTTATAACTTTAATTGAAAATATATATTTTCGATAAAGCGACAACCCATGACTAGTCCCTAGGGCCGGTCATCCTGAATGAATGCATCTATCTCTTCATGCCCGGTAACTGTATATATGGTTATAGTTTTAAAGTGGCAGATGGTTTTAAAGCCCCTGTGCTTATTCTGATAGCATCCTTATGTTCGTCCCAGCAATTGACCAACGAATTTGTTACAGCTATAATTGGACTTAAACTAAGGTGTTCGGAGTAGTTTTACATGTTTAAGGGGTTGAGATCAACTTTCGGTAAAAGAAAATGCCACCCCAATGATGATAAAATTACTCTTAAATATCATCCGAAAGTTGATATAAACCCCTGAAACATGTAACATTACTCTGAACATCTTAGTTAAGGTCCAAATATATGACTGTAGTAAATTCACAGGTCCCTGTGTTATGGGGTACAGATTTTCCATCTTAAAGGGGCTAAGTCCTCAGGGGTAGGACTGGAATCGGTGTCAATTATATCTTCACTTATGTAGTTGTAAATCCATATTTTGGCTCAGGACCTAAGTCTTTAGAGCGTCAGCCCCATCGTTAGTACATTTGTGAATCTATCGCCTAAGGATGCTTCCCATTTAATTTGGTTAAAATCTGTCCAGCGGTTTAGAGGGAAAAGAACACGATTGAAGACGTTTTTGGCGGACTGACGGACTATGAACGGAAGACGGACGCCGAGGTACGACATTCAAAATACATCTGTGTTTGGTGGTGTGCACACTTTTTAGTGAAAAAACAAATCTAACGCCAAAGTAAGGTGGTGATATTGATCGAAGACTTTCGTTTTGAACGATCCAGTATGACACGAGGCGTCTATGGGAATTTGTTGAGGAATGGGAACATTCTAAGATCTGAAATCGATCAATCACTTTACAGTATGATTGACAAGAAAAACCTAGCATTAGTCATCAGCTGAATTAATTTTCTGTTACATACGGTGAGTAGCTTGTATGTGAAACGCGTAAAATTGTAAATCATGCGTGTAGGAATTATACAGACGGCAGCAGCCCGTAGACGGGTCTTCTCATGTTTCACTCTCCAGAAGATGTAAACAGAACTGTCGAAGTCTTAATAGATCAACCGATGAATCAGGGTTTTCGTAGTTATAAGTAGGAATGGGGAAGGCTCTGTCAGTGGAAAATCTTCCTTGCGTATTAGAGTTTAATGTGACAATGTCACCTGCACAAAAAAAAACATGGACCCGATATTTGGTTGTTTTTTTGTTGTTATAATTTTTTTTAGTTTTCAAGTCTTTCTTCCACAATAAAAATATATTTAACATGACATAATCATCGTCATCTTCATTATTATTATCATCATCATAACACCATCAACATCATAACAATAAAATGACAGCATCTTTACATCTTTACACTTGGTCATCATACACATCCTCACTATCATCATGACCTCATCATTTACATTACAATCATCATATAATGATAATGAGAGAGAGACAGAGACAGAGACAGACAGACAGACAGATATATAGACAGACACACAGAGACAGACAGACAGACAGATATATAGACAGACACACAGACAGAGACAGACAGACAGACAGTTTGTTTTATATGGAGCTAAACATGCGCTTTCAGTCTTAGGGACAAAACCAGTAAAAGTTACACAAAGTATTTACAATGAGACAACTATAATTCGAGAATAGGTTTCCATTTTCTCCAGTTAAGATCAAATTGCCTTTTAACAGGCTAAATTTTACTTTGATTTATGAATTGTTGCGCAAGAAAATTATCTTTGATAACATTGATAAGTGCATTGAGATTCAAAGAGTTGCTGAGACATCTAGTACTGTCTTTATTATGGACCTGCTAATTTGTTACAGCTATATTTGGACCTAAACTAATATGTTCAGAGTATTTTTAAAC